GTCGTAAACGAGTGTGGGTCTTTGTGGGTGAAGGGGAAGTCGCGGGTTGCCAAAAGTTGTCGGAGTGGAGGGGGTTGGGCGTGGGTTGGGGTACAGTGGGGAAGCTGATGAGGAATGGCGAGGGTAATCGTGTGTGGTGTGTGGGGTTTGGGTAGGATATGGGTGGGTTTGAGGGGAATTCTGGGATTGGGACGACTGGGTCCGCTCGACGATATCCCAAACTTCATCCAAGGACCCAGAGACTTTGCCGCCAAATTGTTGGCGCAGGCTAGGGTCTCGAATCCCCGTTACGAGGCGGGGTAGTAGAGGTGCATTCGCCCCATCCGGGGGGTACGCCTGGCGAGCGAGGCGTGAGAGTTTGTTAAAATATTCTTCGAACGATTCCCCGGGTGCTTGGGTTCGTTCGAAAAATTGGAATAGGACCTCACTGGGGTGGAGGCCTGAGCCGAAAAGAGGCTCCAAGGCATCCAGAATGACTCCGGGTTGGGAGTCGCCTGGGATTCTCTTAAGGAGCTCCTCATGGACGTCTGTGGCCAACGCTATGAGGATACACCTACCTCTGTGCTCGGGGGGGATAAGGGGTAGATGGAGATCAATGAGCGTGCGCCAGTGGGAGAAGTTATCGCAAAAATGGAGAGTGGGAAGTTAAGTAGGGGGTAGGTTTGTGTAAGTGTATGGGTTGGGTGTTTGTGGGGGTGTGGGGATGGGTGGTAGGTTGTGAGAATAGGTTGGAGTAGAACGGGGATGGTCTTCAACGAGGGATGACGCAGTGTCGTCGGCAGGGGTGGAATTCAGGTCGCGTTTATGGTTACGCCGTTTGCCCATGGTGTGGAGGGATTTGGGAGAGTAAAGGTGACTGAGAGCGCGGGTTCGAAACACTAGTAGTATGTGTGTCTACTAGTGGGTATGCTGCCACCAAAATGTAACGTGCGAGCAAGGCTCGGATCTAGGAAGAGATAGACTAGAGACGGATCTGCGCGAGACATACAATCCAGTCAGGCACTAGGCGCAGAATTCGAGAAGGAGAGAGGATAGGACCAGAAGACTTTATTCGGGACACGGCTTACAAGACGAATAGGGGAGAAAGAGCGTAAACAGGGCGATATTGTTCGTGAGACGATAGATAATCCATACACTAGTTATTGGGCAGGCCAGGTATGAACAGAGCTCACTGTCATGGCGTGTGGCGTGTGTGACAAGCCATGATCATAAATTTGGCGCTTCAACTCATTTTAGACAGTCAAATTTGTTCATGTAGATTTATAAGCCATGCGGGTGAATAACAAGGTGTGAGAATCGGTGATTTCCAATCATGTAGGGTGGTCAGGTGGTCAGTAGTGTGTACAGACATGTCATGGTAAAATTGATTTGAAACACGAGAGCTGATAAAGCACAAAATATTGTGATAGTGTAGTTTACCAAAAGTGGAAGCCAAATGTTGGTATTAAAGTCAAGATCTAAAGTCTTAATACCGAGGTTAACAAAAAAATATGTGGTTAGCGAGCAACGAATATATAAAGAAAATTATAAAAAATAGTCTTTCCAACAGTCAGGCAAATTTCACTCTAGTCCACTTTTAATTAATGAATGGAAAACTGTTAATAATATCTTTTAATGCAGAGTGACAAATATTAAAATATGGGATTTTAAAAAAAAATTTGGTTGCAGCAAAAATTATTGCCAAATTTGGCTTTAAAATACTCTAATTTCAAGGTGCTAAGTATGAACTAAAATGTAGTTATAGATTAGAGGTTCAGAAATTAATTATACGTAAGCTTACTAAGACCAGATTTACTTATATTCATCTTCAGTTATCTAACATCTAAAAGAATATAATCCCGTTGCTAAAAAGAAGGCCACTCATTGTATCAAAATTGTCCTTTTCTGCAGCTCTTTTAACGACACCTTAATTTATGTGTGTATTTTGGTGTACACTTTTTCCTGGCATCAGACGTCGCAGTAATTTGATTAAAAAATGTTTACAAGTGGGAAATCCATACAGCATAGTTGTCCAGCCGAAACTTCACGAGCATTCTACAGTGAAAAAGAGTCGGATGATTAGACAGAATAAAGAATTTTGAGGCAGGAGGAAAAAATCAGAGCTTTATACTGCGTTTTTTCATTTATCCTATTGTGATTCCTACAGCAATTTCGACCTCATAATAACTTGTCTTTTTAATTGGCGCTGAAATTGCCTGGTAACAGCTGCATTAAAAATTAAATTTACAATATATACTGTCATTTCCTTAAGCGATGTCTGAACCTTGATGCAGCCTTTATAGGTCTCATTTGTATGAAAATTTAACTAGTTCCTTACAGTAGCCTTCAACTTCCTCCAAAAATTATGCATTTAATATTTTTTAACCTAATATAAGCTATGCCTCTTTAATTTGTTGTGAAAGATAGAGAAGACGATAAATCAACTCACTCTATAGAGCTTTTAAACATACCGGGTGCTCACGGCAATTACGAGAGCAGCTAAAATTTTAAACTTGCAAAGGCATTACACATTGGAATGCGACGTTCGCTATTTTATTAAAGTGAAAAGATTTTTTGCTAGCATGATGTAGACAGTATAGTGCTGGAGCTTTCCAAATTCTGGATTCAGAGCAACTTGACTCGATCCACACTCGTCGTGTTTGTTTTAATTGTCATTAAGGGGTCAAAATACCCGGCTTCTTTAAACAGTAGATTTTCTGGCCTTTATTGGTTGGTTCTTTGTGGCCAATTGTAGAGCTCTCCTTTCATTACCTGCGTCTATTCATTGCATTCACTTCGTCTTCGTGTTCTTGTTAAGGAAAGTATTGGATTTATTGGAGAGGAATGCATTCTCTTTTATGATACATCCCAGGATCTAGGCAAAATTAAGATTCTGGGATCCCGAAGTTACTTGTGCTTTCGCCATATTATTTTTGATATTGCTCGCACATGGCTCTGCACGTGGACCCACTAAAACGTGAACTATTGGAAGCGAGGATTCAGGGAACGACAAGCCCAAGTGTTGCGACCTCAGCGGGAAAGTCACAGGACATTAATTCTACTCAACTTTTATCAGACGATCGCTTTAAGTGTGGTACATCTTCAGACTCTGCGCCGCACACAGCAGATGTAGGTTATGTGGATGTGACGTCCTCCACGGCGGTTTCCACATACTGTGCCGTTTCTGTAGCCGCGTCCCGTGATGGCCTTCCCACTCAACCCCACCTGGTGTCTGCTGTCAGTTCAAGCTTTCCCAGTTCATTCCATGGCGATGTTGCCCCCCTGTATATCAATTCTACATGCCTTAAACGGACCAATGACTCACCTACAGAACACCCTGGACCTTCGTCAACGATGTGTGACAACCTTGGACCAAATATTCGTAAGACATCGGAATTTCTTCCCCTCTCAAATCACCCTACAGAGGTACCTACGAACAGCTTTAGTAATCATGCTGAAGAAAGTAGCCTCAGTATTGGCAGTTTAAGCGGGGATGGCATATCCAATAAAGGTGCAGGTGGGTTGTTCACTTGTCCTCAGAGTTCTAGCGGACAGATTTTGCATTACGGTGCTAGCCGTCAGGCCTTCCTCATTCCTTATTCCAACAGTAGTGCACTATCCAACCAATCCGTTTCCTTTGATATTGGCTGTCAGTCCAGTCCACTTTTGCCTCCAAACGATTATCCCACAGTTATTGCGTCTCCCAAAAGTACTAGAAACCCTTCAGGCACTTCAGCGGTGCCTTTGCCACACGGACCGGGCACAAATCGTTGTGGTGAATTGAGTTCACCATGCGCTGCCCAAATCACACCTTCGACGCCTCGTAGCACTGTCCGCCGAAAACGGAGAGGTCCACTTTTCGATGAACAGGGAATACAACAACCTAAAAGGCCTGCTTATAGGGGTACAAAACGGATCGATGAGATGTTTAAGGTAACCTGAACCTTGTTGTATTCCCGTATTTTGTGATTTGGCTTGAGAATTTAAATGCGTTTTGATTGGTTTGGAAACTAGACTGTAGTTCAGTTATTTTTTACCCCTTTTATGCTTAAACCAACCTTCAGTCTTGCGCTATCCTTGTTGTTAATTCTCAAAGGTGCTTAAGCTTGGTGTTTCCATATAGGGTCCAAACTATGCTAAAGACATTTGCGTGACAAGTGAATTAGATGTAAATTATTAGATCCCATTCTTCCACTTGTTAAGACTCCTCAAGGAAGTTGCCTGCTACAAGGGAATGAAGAAATCCATGGTGATTATATCGCCAAACTGGATGCAGTTATTCCTGCATCGCAACATATCCTCTCCCCCTCTCGTGGTGGAACTAATAGTTGCGTGACCAGTCCAAGTGATAGTTCGAGTGAAGCGACTCCCCAAAATGGTCTCCCCCCTACCTCCTCTAATGTGATTCACTGTTGCGCCGCTGTGCAGACTGAGTTAGAATCCAGTGTCCAATCTACCCACTCCTTACTTCCACCCTCCACCACCACTACTACACAACAGGGTGGCACGAACACTTCACCACCCCCCTCGAGCAGTCTTGTTGAAAGTTTGCACCGGCGAATTGCCGAGCTTGAGGTAGAAAACACTGCCCAAAGACAGGCTATCGCACTTGCTCAGGAACATAGCCTTAAGTCACGGCAACTCATTCAAGATCTGCTGATTGAAAAGGTAAAGTTTCAAAAAAAGTCGGCTTGCTTGCTCCTTGTTCTATTTATGTCCACTATGGTAACGGCTCACTGTAACGTATCCCACATCAATTGCCTTGAACTAGAGAAGTTTCTTTGCTCGAACACCAACGCACAAATTTACTGCCTCTGAGGTTAAGTAATTATCAAGTAACGGCTATTTCAATTCGCCGATTGACACTCATTCAAGATTTTGCCATTTTTCATAATTGAGCCTACGTGCGCTTTTCTCTTTGATAGTCGTCTATGTTTGTCCGAAACAAATTTCTTCACCTATACCTGGTCGATAAAGCCAAGACGTTATATTTCGTATTCTACCTGGGGTTAGTGCAACCGTCAAACATGTGTGCTGTTATTCTTACCTCCGATGCTTTTGGCGGCCTAGTCACACGCAGTGTTTGCGTCATCTATCGATCAACATCCAGATTTCCGCGCCTTGTTTTATTTGCCAAGCAGTAAAATTATTGTTGTATAGCACCTGGTTTCTTTACCATAAATCGTGTCTGGCTTCCTTGCAGAGTCTCCTGGAGCGAAAGACCACACGCCAAAAGGTGATGGATAACAGATTACGACTTGGACAATTTGTTACTCAGCGCCAAGGTGTTCATTTCGAGGAAAAGTGGATCGAAGGATATCGATTTAAGGAGCTTGACGCGTATGTTTCACAACCTTTTTGTTTACAGTCATTGCCGATTGTTAATAATAACCCGGGTTCCCTAAACATGACCCGTGTTCGTTGCGATTTACCTTTTAAAATGTGGTCTTCAAGGTCATGTCAGCTTTTGCTACTTTTATCCGTAGTTAATTCACTCTCTGGAAGTCTCACAGAATTAACATTATCATTTAAAGTTGTTTATTATATCCGATGTCCTTTAATTCTAGCCGCCGTAAAAATATCGAGTCCATTCGCGAGGAAATAGAACGAAAAAAGAAGCAATGGAACAAGCGAAAACCTGGATCTGAGAGCAGAAAGAATAGCAAGACTCGATGGGAGGAGTGAGTCTAAGTTGGTTTTATGTTCTGTTTTTGGTATTTGCCCCCAGTTCGGTCTAGTTTATCCTCCCGTTGATGCTCGCAGAAATCTCACCAGACCAAAATACAAATTTTTAAAGTCAAAAGTTGAGCTGTCCGTTAGGTCCGATCCAATCAAGTCAGACTGATTTATTTGACTTTTTTCGGCACTCTTTCTATTGACCCAGCGACATCGACCGCAGAACTTAGGCACGTTTTTCCATGTATAATACCTTGCCTCAATTTTAGCCATTAATGAACTTTATGGTTTAGGTTGCTGCGTCATCTTGGATTTTGCGGGCGAACCTTATCATGATATTAGAAGGGCTGGTTTTGGAGAAGTCCCGTGTGCTGATTTCAACTTTTTTCTCCACTTTATTACGGAGTGATATCTTAATCCTCTTTATCTCTAGAGTCTCGGTCGACGAATTTTACGAACAGATTGAAATTTACGATCTCCGAAAGCAAATGCTAGTGAAGGAGGATAAGGAGATTCAAAGCGAGCTGGAGCGCCTTGATAGGGAGCGAAATCTGCACATTCGCGAGATTAAGCGGATAGCAAATGAGGACGCCTCACGTTTTAAGGACCACCCTCTACTCAATGAACGGTATCTGCTCCTCAATCTTCTCGGCAAGGGTGGATTCTCGGAAGTCCACAAGGTAAAGCTATCATTTTTGTGCATAGGAAGTCATGCGTCGACAGTCCACACGTCATTAGGTCATTCATCTTTTTTAACTTCGTGAATTCACGACTTCCTCACACCTCTTAGTTGCCCTGCAAATCGATAGTCTTTGGGCTTCATTTTCTTGCGCTGGCGGTGTGCGATCGACTGTTAGCTCGCCAGAACCATGTGCGATGGAGTTGAACGCGTCATTCACATTGTGTAATGCTTTCATTTTGACAGGGGTTTGATTTGCAAGAGAATCGGTATGTGGCTTGCAAGATACACCAACTGAATCCTGCCTGGCCCAAGGACAAAAAGGACAACTACATCAAGTGAGCATTTTTTATCCCTTGTTCTTTTTGCAGCATTCTTGATGAGACCTATTTACAACTTGTCAATGAGCGTGCCTTCGAATGCCACCTAGTTGTAAATATTTTTGATTTTAATACTGAATCCGATGGAATCCTATTAGCTATTGTAACTCAGTTTCGAAGGTTTCGTGACCTTATGACAAGTTATACCTACAATTTATGTAGGATCTTCTTTCAGTACCTCGTTGGCTCTCCTTTATGATCACTCCCTAAAAGTAGAATCGGTGGCCGTCATGTGGGAGCACTTAGACGTGAAGATCAGACCATTTCGTCTTTGGCTCCATCAAAAGTCACTGTTTTTGTTGCTATCTGTTCCATTTTTTTTTCTTTAGGCACGCACTCCGCGAAATTGAAATCCACAAGACCTTGAATCACCAACGGATTGTCAAGGTGTTTGACGTCTTCGACATCGACCATGATGCGTAAGTTGTCTATCAAGGCGTGGACGCACTTTTTTGGCTTGGGGACTGTTTGTGCCGAGGCTGAGCATGCACCGATTGGCGTGCAGCTTCGTCTCCGTGCGCTCTTTATTCTTCGCTGTACGCCATTGAAGGCTAACGTCTGGCTCATGCTCAAGCCTTAGAGGTGTGTGTGTGTGTGTAATGACGGTCCTTTTTGTTGTTTGTAGTTTTTGCACCGTCCAGGAGTACTGCGAAGGCAACGACTTGGATTTCTTCCTCAAACAGAACAAGATAATACCGGAGCGTGAGGCTAAATCAATTATCTGTCAAGTCATATCAGCTCTGAAATATCTGAACCAAAGAAAACCACCAGTCATCCACTACGACCTAAAGCCAGGTATATGATGCTAGTTCAAACTGCTCACCTTGATGACCATTGTTGTATTGGCTTGTTTTCCTTAATTTTACACATGACCTGGTTTCTTTAAAGCTTAAAGCATACTCTAGAGCGCCCGACTTCCTTTGACGTCAAGCACCGACCAGGTGTCCTCCAAGTGGTCGGTTGGTCGGCGCTGTTCGGTCAACCTAACCAGTCGTACTAATGTACAGCGGTAGAAGTAATAATCCTGTAACTTATGACGTCTGTAATTATGGCACTACCTATGCTTATCCCTACAGATTTCGCGCAATCTGATTCGAATTTCACGCTTATCCTTGTCCCAGAGCGTCCCGCCAAAGCTGCACTCGGCAATTAAACCGCGCTGGCACGACGCCAGCTATCCGTTGCGTTTTAATTCTGTTTGGCTCATATATGAGCTGTCGCCTTTTTTGAATTGGTCGGATTTGTTTGCTTCGACTTCTGCGAAACCGTCAGCAGTTGTCCAGGTGGCGATTATCGTGTGGACCTTCAAATCGTCCCTCTAACGCACCTAAAATTGCGTCTTGTTAATTTCGCGGCTTTGCGCTTAAAACCAGTCACCGTTTGATGTTGAAATAGAGCACAAGCGTTACCAGTATAACTTGTGTTTTTTGGCTCCCTCATCTAGGTAACATCCTGCTGGGGTCGGGTGAGCTCTCAGGTGAAATCAAGATTACCGATTTCGGATTGAGCAAGCTGATGACGGAAGATTTGTATAACCCCGACACCGGCATGGACTTAACTTCACAAGGCGCCGGGACTTATTGGTACCTACCTCCCGAGTGTTTCGAAACGGGCCGAGAACCGCCCAAGATTTCCTCAAAGGTGGACATTTGGTCTGTTGGCATCATTTTCTTCCAGTGCCTCTTCGGCAAAAAGGTTAGTTTGACGCTTTTTTATTTCTGTATGGTTGTTCTCGTCATTGCCTCAGAGACTCATGTCTGTTGTATTTGTGCAGCATAGTCATTTGACATGGATTTCGAGCTTAAAAGTTTATGTAATTTTGAGCTCAAATTTGCAAGCTCATAAAGCCTTAAATGCTCCATATCGTTTCAAGCCTCAGAAGTGACTTTATTCAGCAAAACTGTGGTCCTCGTCGCAAATGCTCCGTGGGCTCGTTTTGCGTGAGCTTAGAAGTGCTTCAAGGCGCCTGGCGACGCACTGCTGGAAACCCGCCTCACCTCCACCGTGAGGTGAGGCGGTCAATAAGTGAACTGAGTGCCAGTCACAACTGCCGTGGCACGGCCGACAAGGCAGCTCTTTCTCCATTCACCTTCAGCCAACACACATCTTAATGCCTTTAACTAAGTACCTCGTCGTCACGTGAACAGGATTTCTCAGCGCAGATCACCAGATTTGCACTTATATTTTCTCTTTTCATCACCTAACTGTTCACTCGATTTCACTTAGCTTGCGTTGGATCGGCAGTTTTACCTCGAACTTGATCATGTGTTTTGCTTTCGTGTTGCGCAAGCCGAACGTCAGATCTAATCCTTGGTTGCAAACGCTTTCATTCTTGGGCCCTAACACCCCACCCCTTGACAAAAGGCCTAACAAGAGCCCTTTTTGGTTAATTTCTTAGATGCTTCTGTGTGGCTTTCTTCTTCCACTTTTTAAAATCACTTTCGAGTGTTACGAGTGCCCTCCTTTCAGCAATAGTTGGGTGTTGATTAAGCGCATTTTCTAGAAGTCAACCCTCGCTACAGTAAATACTGAGCTGTGTAGAAAAATTATATTCCAATGCTTTTGCCCCGTTGTTCGCGACGTCTTCCACAACCTCGATTAATGCTTCCATTTTGAGTGAAGCATTGACATTTTAGTACGTAGAAATTAAAAGCTTCAATCGAAAATAGGAGTACCTTTGTTTCGGAAACATTTGGCGAATTTAAAAATAATTGGGTTTTTTTATGGCCTTCCTGCCTTCTTATGTGTTGATATCCGCCAGGCTTAAGTGTACAATTGATTGACTAATTGATTTTAGATTTGTTCATAGCTCCTTTTTTTTATTACAGCCCTTCGGACACAACATGTCGCAAGCAGACATCCTCCACCAGAACACCATCCTTCATGCCCGATCAATCGTGTTTCCCTCCGTACCCAAAGTCAGTGATGCTGCAAAGGTGAGTTCTGCCTTTTTTTGCTCACTGCTACTATTTAACCTAGTGTCAAGGGCACTCATGGTCGTTTGATGCTGATTGGTTAGTTATGTCATTATTTTTTTTTAATGTGGCTTGGTTCATTATTTCAATCGGCGCATCACTGTGTTGCAGTCTCATCGAAGCCACCTTTGTATCACTTGGTGTTTTGCCTAAAATCGTCATTCAGCCTGCTTTAAATCCGTTTGTCCATTGTACTTGATTTCAATCCACAAAAAGATGTACTTAAACTTTCATGTTCGATGTTAAGTTCACAGCATTACAACTCGTTACTTTTGCTGCCTCTTTGTAGGAATTCATCCGCAAGTGCTGTACATACCAAAAAGAACTTAGGCCAGACGTTTTCCAGTTGTTCAACGATGACTATCTTAAGCCAAAGGCCCAGCTCAAGTGAGTCGTGTTTCCTCTATATTTCGCACGTCTTCTGAGTCGCACAACGCGGCAATTTTCTTCGTTTTCACTTGGCTTTTTCAGCGGTCGCTCCCTAAGATGCATGTGGATTGTACCCTTTTAGTTCATTTCTAAGTATTACTTTAATCCACCGTCGAAATAAGTCCTCGGTTTCAGTCCAAGCTGGCAATTGTCATTCATAAACTGCTGAATCAGCCAGTTGACGCCCTTAATTGCTAAGTTGTTGGCTGAGCCTCTTTCCGTTCACGAGTTTTGCTGAGACCACTTGCTAGTCTAGCGTCTTCACCACAGTTAACTGGTTATCGGCCGATCAATCTGAGCCTTTTTGCATAAGGATTTCGCTTTGTGTCAATCGAGGACTGGTTTGTCAAGTAGCCTATGCGTTTTGTTGAATGTGGGGTCTTCTCTTTCAGACATAATGTGGATGTTGGATCTCTTCCCGGTCCAACCGGCGTTCCCCCGTCTGCCAGTACCTCTGCCTCCCAAGCAGTTCCTGGTGCACATCAGCAGGCGGCCGGTGCCAACCAACCCCAAAGCGGAGGAAGTGTAAGTAGTGGCTATGTACCCAATGCCGCTTTGGGAATCTTTGGGACTAGCAGTCCCGCCCCCGTGGCACTTTCAGCACCCCAACAGCCCCACCACCCCTGAGCGTTTCTTGGGTTCTCCACTTGTACATATGATGACTCCACCAGTTGACTTGGCACTTCACGCATTTTTCAGCTAGTCCCTCAATTCGCCTCTTTTTTATCGCACTGCTGAAAGTTTTGCTTCTCCACCTTCCATATTCGGCGTTTGGTGGACGGTCTTGTGCTATGTACACGCATACATGAAATTATCGATTTTGAATATAATCGCAGAGTTATTTTTGTGCCGTGCGCGCGACCGCACCCACGCAGCCTTCTCAGAATCTCGAAAGAAACCAAACCAATGGACCTTTATATACGGGGACGTCCTCCCTCGCGTGCGACCGTGTTCCCCGCTGAACACAATACGGGTGCGCAAGTGCCCGCCTTATGCAGAACCCTTTCTTCTTTTTCCTTATCCTGTCGTCCTCTTCCCCGAATCTGACTGTACCACGTGTGTGCATTTGTCCGTACACCAATAAGATTAGCATTTCAGTAAATTTTCTATCTTCTGGTCATGGAGCGAATTCTCATGCTACTCGGCCATCATCGTATGCGGCGAATGCTGTGAGCTCGCAGAATCGCTGTATTCGCCCATGCTTCTTGATGAACACTTCATTTAAGGCACCCTGACACAGCGCTGGTTTACCCAAGGAAACCGAGTCATTAGGTTTCTCGTTCGTTAGGGCTGTTGGGGGTCATTTGCAACCTTGAACCGTGATTGATAACTTGGCACCGCTTTCCTTGACATTGTTGAAACTACGCATTCATTCCGTCGACGCGCATCCGAACAATCGCGAATTGCGGGTGCTAAAATACACGTGATCGTCTCTTTCCTGGACATACGCATTTTGGGCCTGTCAGGTGTGTTAAGTACCGCTCCCGATCGTCGGGTTTGAGCCATTTGGGTAGCAATCAAAGGGCTGGAATAGTACTGCATGTACAAAGCTACGGCTTGGGCACAGTGCCATCCGCAATCTCGGCAAACCTGAAGACCCCGAAGGTTTTCTGCTGTAGTGGGTGAATTTGTGCATGCACTAGCGAGCTACACAGGTGAAGCACATGCGCACAAAAAGTCCAAGAAAATGACCTTTGGCGAATGGACGCTCCGGCTCTACGTGATTTTTTCTCCCTAACGTAAAACTTGAAGCCGAACACACCCTGTCGATAATTAGGGCATAGCGCCTACTTTGATTATCCCTCTCCCAGTTCTCCTTAACAGAAGAATCTTTCTGATAAATTAACTTTGTCTTGTAGTGGATTGCGTTGAGGAGTCATCCAAAATCTCATAAACTTCTCTAATACACCTGATCCTGGTTAAACTGCGTTAATAGACGTTGGTGAGGTTAAATATAGCGAGAATTAGTGTTGCGCGGAAAGCAAATGAGTGAAAATCCTGACAGGTACTCACAAATGTTCCGACTTTGTCGAGGTCCCGTGGATTTTGTTTATACGCTTGCCCTCCACAACAGACAAGTTCTGTCCAACCACTGACCAGAAAGAAACACAAAAGTCAGCAATTTTTGAGCTGAAGGATAAGGCTTGTGGGGAAACCTGTTACGTTTTGCTCATAACCGAAAATGCGCGCTAAGATAGCCACTGCTCAAATCCCCTGCGTATCGCGAGCCTCGCATTCTTAGTCCAGGACAACGGCACGACCTCGCGCTGGGAATTTTTGCAATTGATAGCTCATATGTGCCTTCAGTGACTTCGGCGGGATGGATTAAGAGGGATTAGCTCTGACAGGAGTCGTCAGTTCGAAGCCGAAAGCGAAGTGTAGGCATAGACCGCGGTCGTGTTAGCCACCTCGCTGGGCGTCTTTTAATGACTTACTAGAACGATTACCAGGCAACCAGAGACAGGGACGAGTGCTTGGCACCCATGTAGCAGTGGACGGCGCGGCCAGTAAGGCGGAACCGTGTGGAGGGCGGCACTGCCGAACGGTTCTGGCCTGTGCCAAGTCGTGCCTTTTTACACGCGCCTTCAATGCGCGCCTATACAAAAGGCTGTGGCCACTGATGCACTTTATCTAAGGTACCTGTGTGAGTGGAACGGTAGTTGGTCTCAATTTCACAAAGAATGACAGCTTCCCCAACTGAACCATCACTGACATGGCGGGATGGGTCAGTGTTTGTGTGAATTTTTTTAATGTAGTACGCAGAAAGAGGCTCGTGAGCTTAGTTCAACTACACGAATACCAATCTATTAATCTACAAAGTTAGAAAATATGGTGCGGTTTGTATGAAGTGGGCTCACCGAATTTCGAGGTTAGGCTTGTATCAACGCCTACTCGGGCATCCTGTCAGTTATTTTCTGGCACTATCGTCGGTCTTATGGGGTGAATCTATGCATCAATTCGGGTTTGGTAAGCAACGATGGTATTACTTCGCCAGTACAAATGCTACTTAAATAGACGGGGCAAAATGTTTGGCAATTATTAGAAATTTGGTGATCAGTCAGTGCCTTCATACGAATAAAAAATCCTGAACAGCCTAAACATGACGCAACTACCACTAGTGAGACAATATACAACCCGAAGTGCCCAGATGAGGATGAAGAGACTGAAGATGGTGAAGCTTTAATTGTTTATTGAGTTAACGGAGTTAGTCGTGCAAAGCATGGCATTGTTGGGTTGACATAGAGGGGATTATCGGGGTTTTTTCAACATGGAGGATTGTTCCAGAGTGGACACGGAGAAGAGGCTGCGTGACTCAGCGTGGGATCCGTGGGAGGGGGTGGTGGTGGTGAAACACTGGAGTCGATCAAGCGTGAACTTTGTAGCGATCGAGCGTCACCCCACTCCGGCTACTCTCCACTGCGCCCATCAGCCCAAACCCCGACTTGATCCTCGCCTTGCACCAATGACCGAATCTCCACGCACATGCAGTCACTTATTTGTAGTCGTCCGTTTTCGTTTTCATAAAAAAAGTTCATTTCGGCTAGCAATCTGAGAACTTTGAGTTTAATGTGAGACGAAACTCGATGGAGGCATAGCAACAAGGCAAACGGTTGTTGATTAAAGCATATGCAAGCCACAGTTAAATCACTCTTAACTACTTCTCATATTTGCCAAATGTCATTTTAAAGTCGAGTTAGTTGAACCATAAACTGAGGAAACTAGTTCGGTAGTATTAGGTGCAAGACTCAATTTGGGCTTAAAATTATGTTTAAAACGGGAATATTTTCACGGTCTCTTGTGGTTTTGAAAAAATCAGACGCAGTTTTAGAATACCAGACGACAAGTCTACGAGGTTACATAACCTCTCAGAATTGTGGAGTTTACGAGGTCAAATAATAATGAGCACATTCGACGACACCGCCTTTCACACAAATTCCAACAAGGAAAATTGCTTCTAAAACACTGAGGGAATCAATTTGAAGTGTTCGTGGTGCCGACGTTGTGTCTTGTCAAACGTGTAATTATTGGTACAAGTGTTTTACAGGGGATTTTGATCGCAGTGACCAGCCGCGCCCCAGACAGACTCAAAAGCTTGCATATGCGGCATTGTAGGGTCTTTTAGATGAAGACTCAACCCAAACACAACGAGACCCCGCAGTACAGTTAGGAGTAGCCCAAACAGCTGATCCCAAGAGCTTACACCAAATGTGTAGAATTCAAAAACTTGGAAACTCGGTCCCACATGCGTTGATCGAACCCAATCTGGGCCAAGTATGAATACATGCCCTTCACCGCTTGCCCACTAGCAAAAAAGAAGGATTTTTTTGGAAAATTGTGACAGGAGATGAAAAATATATTTTTTACGGGAATCTCAGACGTGAAAATGCGTGGGTACATTGACGCCAAAACAGGACCTTCATTTGAAGAAGGTTCTCCTGTGTGCCTGGTGGAACATGAAGGGTGTACTTTACTACAAACTCCTGGAAACTGGTTAGACGATGACTGCGGAACGCCACAGCCGACAATTGAACAAACTGAATGAAGAACTTGAACTGTAAAGGCTATGTGCTGGGCAAGGAAGCAGGCGGATCGTACCGCCGCATGACAACGCTCGACCATCTTACGTTGCTCGCGAAACTCAGAAAACAGTCGCGAACTTGGGACGGGCAATTCCCCCACACGCGGCATATTCACCAGGCTTGGACCCATCCGACTTCCATTTCTTCCGGTCAATGCAGCAGCATGCCTTAGAGGATAAACAGTTCAAAACGCTGGACGGTGTGCGTTTATACGTCGAGGACATTATTGCTTTGAAGCCTACAAGTTTCCTTTACAACCGAATTCGTACGTTACCTGAGAGATGGGCCAGGGCCATTTAAAACGGTGGACAATATTTCCAAGATTATGTTCGTTGTCCACTTTCCTGGATAATAATGACCGATTTCTCAATTGTATTTAATGTTGGAGGTAAAAGAAGAAGGTTTTAAATTGTTTTTTAACATTGTAAAGTGTTTACAAATAAAGCTGTTAAACGTAGACCGCTTTCCGCAAATTCATTCGAACAGTTAGCAAAGATTCCACTGTTGTGTGCGTGGACCAAGTAGACTGCATATAATGAGATTTAGTGGGAGCAGATGAAACCTCTGGTTGATTGGGGTTCCTTGTAAGTGTCGTGAGTCAACCGATGAAGTATTTGGAGCAGCAATACTAGTCCGAATATGGAAAAATTATCCAGCGCAAGCTTCATCGTTTCCCGTAGGTAAGCATGAGTTCAAATGGAGTGAACACGACGATTGTATTTACCTAAAAATAAAACTAATCATATCATCAACCGACAATAAGTAAGCCTGTATGTAGAAAACAGGTGGGGATTTCTGTGAGCAAATTGCAAGCTGCATAAAATAGAATAAGAACTTAAACGAAGGCTGCTGTTTTTCATTTCATCATGTTCTCATCATATTTATATAACAGCTACGAAAAATGTCCTTACTTTAAACTGTCTCAGTACCATAAATTTCGCCTTTACATTTACAAATTTTATTTGGTTCAAGTAATTACCTGGCGCATTTAAATGAACTTGTTACGTGGCCTGATCAATTAGAGAGTTAAAAATAATCACGTATGTTAATTACTAAATCCACTAGGCAGATTTATCGGCATGAGTAAGTAACCAGTCAGCAAATACTACCAAAAATCCATTCTTTATCAAGATACTACTCACCTTTATTTAATTACAATTAATTTCCGTCGACAAAATTATGATAAAAACAAGCCTACAAAACCCTTGATTTCTCTTTATACACAACTCACCGAGCTGCGCTACGCCAAGACAACAAAGGCAGATCGCAACGTTACTAATAATGCCTATTGGTTTTTCCAAACCCTTAAATATCAATTAGCATATTCAAAAAACGCTTACTAATGTAGTGATTCGTGAAACTGCCAAGTGACACGCCGTTAGAACCTTGAATTAGCCACAGGTAAATGCTGCACTCCCCTGCGAATCGGACTTCCTGCAAACACAGTTGGGAAAGGTCAAAAAGTTGGGAAGGCGAGCGAGATCATCAGTTGTTTTCGCCGTCATTTTCCCTTTCCGGGGTTTCCTTTTGCACTTCCACTTGGCGTTATTTTGCCGAAGAGGTACCAGGACGTTGATAATCCTTTTTGTCCTCGCCGAGTAAAATACAGGGACGCGGGAAAAAACAGAAACTACTGTATTGCCACATTTGGATTTGTTTGGCGCTTCCATCTTCGATGGTCGTAGGCTTCCGCGAAAATGCTTCTAAGAAGATGTTGACCTCTTTAAGCGTCTCCGACACTCAATTATGCCCTTGGTTATTTCGGACTGTTGCCGTCTTTGAAAATTCTGTTGCGTTTAGCCGCTATCTCCATTATTGTCACCCTCAGGTAGTTTCCTAAATGACCTCATGTGACAAGTGACTTGTGTCGAGGGTGACTTGTGGCATTGATTTAAGAGCCGTGGTCGTCGAGCCGTGGTGACAGGACCGTTTCAGGTCTTCCTGCTGGTCCACGATACTTGTCTAAGAAGAATCAGCTGAAACGACACGAGGCTCGTCGGATTTCCCTAGACGCTGTCTGTTTGATCTATTATTTACACCTCAAGATTCGACATCGGCATCTCCAGAAGGCACAATTTCGGGACCAGCAATTGTTTTACTTCCTCTCTTATTGAAGTGTCATTGGTTTGAAAGTGTCATTTGATCAGCCAGATTTAAATTTGGGCCAGAGGAACACGAACTGCGTGGAAAACCCTAGATCCAAGTGCAACGCGCCTCATGCATTCGCTGCAGTACTGTGAAAGAAATTCATTTTACAAAACGCGACATTGTGTCATAAAGGCTACAGACGATGGCCCTAGAACTGATAAAATACCTGAAATGGTTCAAGCAAAACCGTGTGACAGTTGGAACCTTTTCTGTGAATTGCTTGATGGACCTCTCATAATGTTTGACGACACCTCAGCCCTGGTCAGGCCAAGCCAACAGATGGAAGACTGTACAGTCACTCTAACCCAGTTGACTCATGCTTCTGATCTGAAGTCGTGCAGAAATCTCGAGGCGATCCCAAGAGGTCTGCCAATTCAGACGCAGTTTGTGTGGACTAGAGTAGCTAGCAGGACACAAAGGCAACGGTAGAACCACGCATCGGTGATTCACGAAGATTGGTAAAAGATCGCGTAGACATCGCCTGCTCCAGTTTTGGCGAACAGACAGATGCTAAAATTGATGTTTTTATGACTCAAAGAAGTGGGAGTATGTGGCTCAAGACTGAAGTTCGTATCAGCATTGTTTGATGGACAGTCAAATTGTTTAGGACTGTAGACCAACGTGTAGTTGTAGCATTTTTGGACCCACAGGGCCGCATCATGCTCTAATACATCCCTTTGATGGTGCTATCATTGACGAACCAGAAGCCATGAACAATCATTTGATTACGCACATTTGCTCTTCAGGGACTAACAACCGAGAAAATGATTTGGGAATGTCCCAGCATCAAGACTCAATAGACAATGGTCTTGAAACAACTGAAGAAGGGTCGGAAGTTGTGAGCGGATATAAGTGGAAACTTGTCCGAACAGGTTTTACGCAAATTTTGATTCTCCCTGTCCTTGCATTGATCGCTGTTCGCAAGTACATTAAGAACGCGCTCGTGAATCGGCACACAAGCTCGAAATTGGCTGGCCTGGATGCGAATAGATGGTTGCATCCACTGCCACCTGTTGCTCACTGTTAATAGAGATGAAAGGCAATACGAGCAAGTTTCGTGAATATTGTTCACAAGTTTGCATATGCTTGTTTCCCCCTGGACTGCCACCTGCAGGGACCAGATTAAGACAAATAGTTAAATCAGGCCCGATTAAAGTTTCACACACAAATACGCACACACACACACACACATATGCACCCAGAAGGCGTCATCTGCCTAGTCTGGTCGAAGCACAGCGCTGCACCGCACACGAGTGATCAAGCGCGACTGAAGCGCAGCGAACGGTGCCAAAGGCAGCGCTCGCAATTGTGCGCTCTTCGCGTGCTCATTTTACGTTCAGTGTAGCACACACTTGACCTTCACGAAATCGAGTAGTTTAAAAGTGTTTTAATTACTTTTACTATGCTGATTGACACTTGCCATTTTTTAGTTTCAACACGACATAATTGAAACACTCTTGAGGCTCCGTCGATTATTCTAGGAATCCGTTCCATAATTTCTCTGAGAAAGCACCGCCACATTTGCACTAAAAAACCTTCCCAACCACTCTTCGATTTTCTTCGTGCAGGGTACTGTGGTCACAATGTCGGTTTAAGGTTCTCAACAATGCTGCCAGGCTTCTTGTAACAAAGAAGGAGGAACGAGCCTCGCATCATCGCTGGTGCCCTCTAAGGTTCGCCGTTCTCTTGGAGCTCTGATTTCTATCAGCGTGTCATCACACACACACACACACAAACGACGTCCTGGTTGGTAAATACGCCAAATTTAAAATCCTCTCACTGAAATGCAAACCACTTATCGCTGGTGATTGACTGTTCGTGTGCGTAACTGTCAATGCTCACGGAACTCAAAACCGGGTGCCTGCTCACCCACTAGACATGTCATTGTGTGCGTATTCTAGACCACTTGTGCACGAGGGCCAATAAAACGCAAGAGGGAGTGGCACATTAATCACCTAGCATTGAGCCTTTCCCGGACAAACTTCTAATCAGACGCTTCTGGTGACCGTTCGCTAGAAGCCCACTGAAAACCGTGTGGCAGTCAGGGGGAGTACACTTGTCAATCGAGGTATTTTGATCTGGTAATGCTCGCCTGATAACCCAAGTGCATGTGATCTGTCGCTCCTCCCTACACAACCTTGATTCAAATCGTACACGCCAGCCACACTGGCCAATGAGGCATGTCAACGACCTCTTTTCACTCCCACAAATACATCTTGAAGGTTCAAGAGTACGGGCATCAGAACGCTCGTTTTCGTGAATGACCCAAGACAAAGTACTCCCCTTCCCTCATATTGTTAGGATTTTTTAAGAGTGCAAAAGAATGAATAATCCAATAATGGCAATTGATTTGTATATGGAATATACCGTAAGTTACTCGTGTAAACATTGATGTTTGCTACAAACTTAATATCTAAGCTCGATTTCACGAGCCGAACCCGTAGGGAATAGAAAAGACAATTCAGAATGTTCGACAGAGTATACATTTCATCCTAAACAATAAGTATTATGAAAATAAGTGTTAACTTGTGAAAGGTGCAACAAATGTACATGCGTACCCTTATTGCCCAGTTCTAACGAAGCGAGCATAGTAAAACAAGGAGTTACACGAAAATGACATAAAAAATCTTACAATTCGATTCACAAAATTGTGTCCATTAATGTCAGGTACGTTAAAAATTGGCATAATTAATAAACAGAGAAAGATGGATTTGTGGAGTAATAAGTTGAGGATTAATCAAAGATGCGGTAAGGGTTGATGGTTTAGTTTAGGGGGGAGGCGGCCTGTGTCAGCTCTTCACACAGGGGTAAACTGGTGCAAACTGGCGGGATGAAAGCACTAAGTCCCCTTGTCTGAATTTGATGATCTAAAACTAAGGGAAGTATGTGTTGTAACAAATGCAACCTTTAATTAATTTTGACTGAACTTTCCTGTTTGTGTGCATTAGGAGTGACTAGGTCCTGATGTGAGTCCACAACTCCAAATTAGTACAAACAGAAGGATTTTAACACAACCTCCCCCCAGTAGGCACAACCAGTCAGTGCCCAGGTGCTTCTAGATTTTTTTCAAAACAGCTCCAAGTAACGTGAACTCCTTGCCTTGAAGGCAGTGTTGAAAGATTCACTGATCAGTGTACAACCTCCGATCCCTAGGATTGAACTATTTATGCAAACTGACTGCAAACAGTGCTTGGTCCTGTTGTAACCACATTCAGCTGCGATGGTCACACAAAAGCTGGTTTCTCGAGACATTTGCTGCTCAGATTCACTGTTTAGATAGGTGCTATTCGTCAAATGTGGATCCACGAGCAGGCCAATTCGCACGTGCACAGGAGAACAATGTGTCAGAAAAGGGGTAAATCAAGGCTTTCTTGAGTTGCAGGTTCTCCTCTTAAGCAAGCACGGCAATTTGTTTACAACTTATATCTCAGAAGCTTCAGAGTTCGGTGCATTGCCTTTAGTTAACAGGACCCAATAGCATTGAGAGTAACCAATCAGCGGACAGCGTGTTGCGGTACCGGGTTGAACCGAGTGGTCACGTGGGAACCTTGTGTTGTAGAGTCCCCGGCCTCTCGCCACACCGGGGTTCCCACTGCACAGATGATCGGTGAGGCTGAGGTCCGACGTGGAACGCAAACGGAACCGCATGGGTGGCGGCTCAACGCAAATGTGGGTGTGTACACAATGTCGCGCAGGCTTATAAGTCACAGACAAATAAGTTTGTGCAAACTGGGTGTGTGCTAACATTTGCCGCACAAACGGCGGCGGCGGCGGCGGAGCTGAGACACGCGAATGATTGAAAAGGGTGAGTCACAAAGGCGTATCTGGACCTGCTTCGACAGAAATGCTAGATGTGGTTCATCCCGATTCGCTGCAACTGTAACATGCCCTAAACTCATTTAATTAGTGATTATCAGTTCGCTCATATTTCAGTAATATTCACTGAGTGGAATCAAAAAAAACGACAAATCCCGACAAGTAGTTGCTTAGGCTAATAACGACCTAGTAGCTAGTTGTTAAATGGAACCACAGAAACCGTTGAAGAGGAAAAGAATGTAGTGAAATTACTTACAGTTGTTTTGAAAGGGCTGGGAATTTGGCAAATACTTGTAGGTCAGATGTAAGAAGGTTCTGGTGGGGCATTGCAAGTGCCTTCTGAGCGGCCTTAGGTGAGTCAAATGTAACTATGGCACGCCCACTAGGCTTGCCATTGGTCAAAGGCTTCAAAACTTTATTAACCTTCCCAAATTGACTGAAATGTTCTTCAAGCATTGCATCCGATATCTGGTCCTTTGATTTAAGTCCAAATACAAAAATGCGTTTGGAGGGCTTGGGCTGACGCGTTAAGGGCTTCGATGGAACCTTTTGTTTTGACCTTTAAACAAAAAATAAGTTGGCGCAGCCAACACACAGATTGTATACCCTTCCTAAAGTCTACGACACAAAGCGCTGACAATCTTTCAAGAAAAAAAAATATTTTACAGAAACGAGTTTATGAGTCTGTGTAGTAAGTTAAATTTTGTTCTGAAAACAATCGTATAACCCCATTCAACAGACGGTAGGCTTGTGAGTCGCATTCACATTTCAGCACGTTAAAATGCGACTTGACAGATGTTGTATCAGCAGGTTAATGCTGGAGTCATCTTAAAACCATCTTGAAGAAGGCAGCATCCCCAAAACTGCATTATTTTAGCAAACACTTTGTCGAAGAGGTCCACGAATGTTTTGATAATTGAATATTAACATCCACTGGGCAGAAGTTTGCATGGCGACGTGGATAGACGGCGACGGCGACGACTCCGCAGGCCCTGGCCTTCCTCGCTTAGCGAGCCGCACTCTCTTCAATTTTGCGTCAGAGTGCGGTGTGTGCTAGTCGGGGGCATTGAGATTCGCTCCTAGATTTTTTTGTGAACATCACTCATCCGTTATATAAATCCGTTCCTCAGGATAATGTGCTACAAGGCCCTTCCACTAGCCACGCTCTTCATGGGAAAATAGGGTGGGTTCTCAAATTTGGATAGTTTAATCATGCTTTCACATGGGACAAAATCGATCAAAAGGGCGCGGGAATACAGGACTCAGCAGTCACTCACTGTGAGACTGAAGGGACACGCCTTGATGAGGCTAATTTGAGGTGGTGCTTGTCTAGCACGTGGCACTTCTCAGACAGAGCCGCCTGAGCTTCAGCAAGCTTTTCGAACACGACAAAACCACAGGTGCTCGGGGTATTGTCCGCATTTAAATAACGATGAAGCTTGACGATTTTGCCAAACTGCGAGAAATGTTTCTCCAAGTCACCAGTCTGAAGGTGGCCGGTTTTAGATGCTTTGCCAATCACCTGAAACGTAATGCATGTTGACTTGGCCACCGCGTGCGCCGGTCTTTCGTTTGCGGGTTCAGGAGCGTCTGATTGTGGCCTGGAGAGAGAAACAAAGGATAGTAAAACCAAATAAGCAGGTGAGTAACCGCTTGAAGAAACCCGTAATTATTACATAACTTCTAAATCCAAACAGCCTAGAAGCAGAATCACGGGGACTTCAGGTGATGTACTGAACACTTTGAATTGTTTAGCATAGACAATTAATTTAACCACGTGAAATAAAAAAGTATATCCAAGGGATATCCCAAGAATCAGCGATATAAATAACCTCACATTTCAAGTTTCAAGGTTAATCGATGGGTCTGGGCACGGCTGGGCCAATTGTAGTGGCTTGGAGTGTCACTCTGTGTCTTCTTCCCAGCAATGCAACATTTCTAAGCAATTTGCTTCTCACAACGGTAAATCACGTTTTTGCGGCACAAGACAACTCGTGGAAGGCCAGATACGGATGAGGAACTTTCACTTATTCACCCAACAGACGACCTCTGAACAGAGGGCAACACGCGAAGATTGCGTGTGTACAATAGTAAGGGAATCAAAATCAACAAACATGAGTCCTTGCACCTCGTTCACGAATGGCTCCAACTGGCCTGCAAGTCGTGAACCCGAGGGACTCGGATTTGCACCTCACGAAGATGACACTTAGGGATACACAAACACACACACACACGTGGAAAAAGGGCCAGAAGACTTTGGCAAGGACGTCGATGAACTCGCAGACGATAATTCTTGCTGCTGAAAGTAAAATGATTTTTTTTTATTTGAGTGTGCTAATCAGTGCACGAGCTGGGCGGTCAGTGACAACTTTAAAACAACGGAAGTTCCTAAGACACTTCGGTTGTTTTAATAAGATGAAAAAAGGCAGTGCGTCAACCTGAAGTTACGACACCGTGCACATTTTCGAATGCATTCGGGATTGTGTGGCTAATGCGTAAGAATGGCAACAATATGATTCAGTGAGGACAAAATCTAGCCAAATGGTAAAAAGTTGTTCAAAGCTGAACTGGACGTTGCCCGTTTATCTTGGAATTCGGAACCAGTCCGCGTACAAGACAATGGAGTGGGCTGCCAAAATACTTACACGAAAAAAAGGACAAGGCAGCTTGGGAACTGATCAGATCGATCGTAATGACGTATGATTGTAATGATAGACAGGTAAACAACAAAATATGAGTTTGTAAGGGTCCTGTAACCATTTCCTTGACAAGCCAATCAAGGTGACAAAAGTGGACGCATTATTCTGCTTTCAACATTGCGACAGACATCGTTTCGTCTAGTTAAGAGAGTTTGAGTTTTTTGCTTTTTTTGTTAATAGCAATGGATAGAATAAGCAGCATGTATGAGTTTTGGGGCGAGCACGCCGACAATCAAGATACAACCACCATATCGGATGAGAGGTGATCAGTATGCTACATGTACGGGCCAAACCCTCGTCTAAACTAGAATCATGGCCACACAAACATTAGAAATCATTACCACGGGCACGTTATTTGCGCAGAAACACTCATGATCTAACTCAGAGCTTACCAGGAAGGTTTGGACGAAGTACCAAGGAGAGCCCAATGGCTTAAGTGATAATAAGCAGGTTCAACTCACGGGTGTTTTCCAGTGGCAGCCGGAAGGATTAAAGGGGCTTTGGGAGGAATGTTGTGAATTCGGTGGATTAATGAGGCGGGCCATGGTTTGGAGGGTAGGTCGGGAATTAATTTGCTTGCATTTTGTATTCTATCTTTTTGCTGAAAGAGGAAAAAATGTTTCCATAAGTTCACGAACAATGTGAAATTACGCATGCATTGGCAGCCGTGTATTTGGTAGGAGATTTTCGCAGCAGATCCGTAAAAAATATTATTACTATGCCAAGGTAGAAAACGACAGGCTTAGCGACAGAAGGCAAAGCAATGATCATTTTAGCTCCAGAATCTAAGAAATAATTGCAGACGAATTAGTGTTAAATTGGTAATTATTTAAAAGACTGGTTAACAAGCGCTCATGGTACAGTTTCTCACCACTCTCCACGGACTTGAAAAGCCCCAAGAGGCAGGTAAAAATTAATTAAGTCATTGAAATTAAGACCTTAAACAAGCAGCAACTCGCACAAATACTGGAACAAGGGCCTACGATATGCTACGCTTGTGAGACTCGCCATGATTTTAGTCACAATAATAAGATAAGGCGCACTGCTATCCCTGTCCATTTAACACACTTCAAATAACGTTATTTTATTTCTTTGTGATTTAGCAAATATATATTTTATTAGTAACGTCAAGTTTAAAAGTTTTCCGTGGGAAGAACGAACCTCAGCAGCTGCACCTTCTGCCTCGAGAGACTGGACGACGAGGCTGAGATCGGGAGACTCAGGGAGGTCGTGAAACGGCTTCTCGGTAACTAATTCTTCGATAGAGTCAAGACAGATCTCGGCTCGTGAAAGGGCAGTCTCAATGGCTGCTTGAAGAGTTGCTATTGTGTTGGCAAACGCGTCAATTTGTGAAATCCGATCGCTGTTAAGAAGCTTCGAAAGGCGATTCTGTCTAACCCGCAATGTAAGAAATCGGCTTAGAAGAACGGAGGAGTACTAAGGCGGTGGAAATTCAGAGTGCAATCAGTCAGAACCTCATTTATTACTGGTACAAAATCCTGTTGAATAAACAGTTTGACTAAGCAAAAAATAACACTGTAGAACCATTACTTTCAATACCCACATAGAAAATACTATCACTTGTCAATTTTGATAGGAAACAAAACGGATCCCACAGATCAAGCCAAACGAGATAATACTTTTCTACTATCTATCTAATCTATTCAGCCTTTTGACGCATAATTTATTATCGCATACACCACTGTCTTCGAGTTTATCTAACAAGTGTGTGCCAATGATACAGCAGTTTCATGGGGACCAGTTTCACACAACGTTAATTTTAGCCCTCAAAGTCAAGATGTTAACAAATATTTACACTACTATAGCACTACTGATGAGACCAAAAGAAAGCTATGATAATTTGAGAATTTTCAATTTTAATTTGCATGAACGCGGCCCCAGATAAAACATAATTTTGAGCTATATGACCACCGAAAACATTAGACGGAATCTCTAAACCAACTTTTTTGAAATGATTCTAAGAAGACTTATGTCTGTGACTCACTTACCATCTCCCGATGCATTATTATGCAATCACGACATAAGTAATTCTCACAATGAAAACACAGATAGCATTCTTCGCAAGCACCGCTGCAACTACTACAGGAAGTACATAAAATCGTAGGGTTTTGGAGCTTAAACTGAAAAACTTTTTCAGCAAGTTGTTCATTGGCAGTTAACTCGGAAATATTCGTGACATGTTTGCACAGAGGACATTCCACTTCATGCTTGGAATCCTCACTAGAGGAAATACAGGTGCCTCCACAAAATGAATGACCACATGGAAGTGAAAGCGGCTCTGAAAAACTGGAAAGCAAATTAAGGTAACGTTATACGGGTTAACATGCGATTTCACAACACTCTGAGGAACGCTTACATTTTTCCACATATCTCACACATCAGTTCATTGACCACTGTCATCCGTAGAGATATCCAATTGTAAACAGAATCAGGAAAGATGTTCTTCGTTTAGGGGCTTACAGAGGTCTCGGAGCCTTCGATTTGACAAGCTCAACTGAAAATCGAAAAGAACAAACATAATTTTAGAAAATGGGGCCGAAATTCCAAGCAAATGGAAGCTAAGCAAAAAATAAAATTTCCTAGAAAATATGCAGATTATTTTACTGAATGAGTTTTACTAAATGCCTTTAATAAATCCACGAAAGTCAAATTACAAAGTCGGTGAAGAAAGGATTCAACGATAACGATAAGTAATAATCTCATATTAATGTAATAAAAGGGCTTCCTTCGCTATCAGATTTTAAATAATGGAATCATATAAGTCAAGCAATTTTAGGAATTTACATATTCGAAGTATAAGAAGTGAATAATTGTTTTCGGGATATATAAATGGGTACACTGAAAATGGAGTCGGTTCACGGAGAATTCCGTAAAAATGGAAACAGATGCAGATAGACACAAAAATACAACACTTGCTAATGCTACATTTCAGTAATTTGAAAAAAGTTTACAACTGAACTCTAAATTAAACTTGATTAAAATAACCCTCACTGATTTGTGGGATGAGCCTTAGCCAAAATACTTGGAGGAAGTACTTACCTTGACTAAAACATGTAAATTATAGATTATAAAACCAACTTCAAACAAAATGGTCAATCAATAGCGGGGAATTTTTCACGTGGCGAGCAATTGTGAAAGGAGAGACGCGGGGAACGAAGATGAACCTCGCGGTCTGTCAGCATCGATATCCTCAAGATGTCGTTTTAATAGGTTAAAACAAATGTGCTGCTTTTGAAAGTCATGTGGTTCAACAAATAATTATTTAATGTATCTGACTTGTTTTCAATAGAGTTTTATGCTATTTAAGAGCAATACTATAAATGATGATTTCGAGAGGAAAATATCATGTTGGAGAGACAAATACAAAATATTGATTTTCTATGGTCCATGAAGTTAAGGTTAGGAATGCGTTTTGTAGAAATACGCTGCTAGGAATCTCAAAGCAGGCCAAAATTTAACTTGATTGGTAAAGGGTTTTCTAGGAATTTCTTGCCATTAAACCACAAGCGTTAACTCCATTTTGCATTCTAAATTGAACTTGCTCCATAATTTTGTCAAATATTAACCCAGGAAATTATCCTTTATTAAACGTTCGCTTTCCTTTTTTTGTTTTAATAAAAGGAAGCATGAACTTGATGATATTTTTCTTAATTTTAACATGCAATTTATTTTAAAGTAATAATGGAAATATCAATTTAAAATGTGTGAGTGTGTGTGAGTAAATATTACCATGATAGCTCGTGTTACAGGAAAAGTGGTAAAAACTAATTAAGTTGACGCGCTAATAGACTAGAAGTTAATGGATTAGTCTCTTGCTCTTACTAAATTCCTGCTATCCATTTTGCCTTCAATTCACGGTACAAGTGACTCTTTTATCATATTCTCCTATTCCTAATTAGGATTTGAATAAAAGTTATCAAATAATACTTTGTAAAAAGGCCACTGAAAGTTTTTATGGTCCTTGACATTCTAAATTGGTCGTTAGCTTGCGTATTACTTGTGCTTAACTTGTATCTAAATCACCTGGCAATTTGCTCCACACAGCACTCATGACCCAATAACCCACGTAAAAGAGTGTTATTTAATCGTGCATAGCTTAGAATAGCGGACAGAATGTTTACCAAAATTATTGATTGTTCCTGCATTAAGTGGTCGTTAATTAGTACATAAGTGTTCAATCCTCTCAAAATTGACGACAATTCAATGAAAATTTACCAAACGCTTGATCCATTTGTATGGTAGACTTCACCTTCCCCCTTGGTCTTTTTATCTCGAGAGTACTTTTAAGTAATATGTAAGTAGGCGCATGTGAAAATACTCTCGGCCTTTGGCTAAGACAGTAAACGCTCACTGCATTAGGCCTTGCCTTACATTAGTGAGGAAGGCTAACGAGGGAATCGATAAATTGCACATGGGGTTTTACATCTGTGTACCTGGAACCGTAACAAAGTCAGACAGTCAAAAAAATAGCGTAGGTAAACACTTGTAAAGTTAAGTAAGAATCAAGCCACCGAAAATCTTGCTCAAGTTATGTAAAAAGCAATAGCAAACTTTCTTTACCACGTTTTATGTATGTGTGATGGTCTTCGAAAACATCTGGACCTACATGGCCATTAACCGTGTGTATGAACAAGTGTTGTAATCAGATTCAATAAAATAAAGAAGCTAATTTTCGGGAGATTATGCAGACTCAAGTACTAATTTTTTGTTGTGAATGATATTTTACACATGTTTTTTTCGAAATTTGGATGCTGGCCGTAGCACTCCGCGTTACAATTTGGGTGTTCGTGGCATTCATGCTGAGAGATGACTGCTTAACAAGGTGTTTGCAGCTTGCTACAAAACGGCTGAATTTTGCTCTTTTTTTGCCGGCATGCTAGTTGGGTTTCTCGAATTCTTCCGTATCATAGTTATTCTTTCCTCTACTTCCGAAAATCACTTAGTAGTTGTGCTCCCATTCAAACCTTGATACAAGATCTCTAACGCTGAACCTCGACCGCCACCAAGTCTTGTCTCCCGACTTTCTCCTGGATTCACTCCACCAAATGCCTCCCCTTAGTTGATATTGACTTTTTAGGCACCCCGCTCCCTGCAATCTATTTTTTTTCAAGCGTTTTACGACGACGGAACCTGACTCCAACCGCCTCCGGACGACGCCCAGTCCAGTAGCTCCCTCATTCTTTCAACCAACCTTTTTAAAACTCAATTTGAATAAAGAGTTCTGTTCTCGACATCAGCTGATTGCGAATATCTCTGCAGAATAGCCTTCAGTCTTGATCAACTTATACACTCGAAAAGCTAGCGATTCAAAATTGGCCTCTCAGCATGCAGCCAATTACGATGCCACATTTAGTGAACACTTTTGGTCAATTAATGTAAAAGTTTTGCGACTTCCGCTTAGTCTCCATAATCCAATATCCTCCATAATAAACATGTGTATTTCAGTTCGAATGGGTAATATCGAAATAAACCACCATTAATTTCAAAAATTTATGACAATGAACGCAAATCAATCGGGATTTGTGTTGTCCGAGGCTACTTTATTATGCAAACTACTTATAACAAACACAAATCAACTTATGGGATCGCCCCAACATGACACTCACTGACTTTCTCAAAGCAAATGCAAAGAACTCCCACCAAGAAGCACGAGAAAGCTGCTGTTCATTAATCACACCGACCGCTCTATCTGGGATACTCAAGTCATCTCAGGTGTGTTTTTGGTCCATTCTCTTTCTTCTCTTTGTCATAATGGACGGAAATCACCACTTTTTGGCAGGCCTCCTTTATTGCTTCGTTTCCGGGAGGCAGAGCTGGTCCCTCGAACCCCTTCAGCCTCCCCTCCCCCGCCACCTGCGCGTGTGTGTGTGTGCCCACATGCCCATGGCTAATATTAGTACTTAAAGACAATGACATATCGGAGGCCTGCTGGATTAAGTCGATGGTTTTTGTGTTCCTGGTCCAGGAAATTAATGAGCGGCAAAAGAAGACACCGACTTATTGTTGGACTGCCAGGGTGCGGTTTGTTCCTTGTTGAGAGGGAAATATAACATTGAGGAATTATCCGTTAATTAGGAATCGTAAAGCCATACAAGGGTTTTGGTTATTGCCAATAAATAAACAACTATAGTGGGGAAAGAAAAAAATTCACAATTTTTTCGCCACATAGTTTCTGTACCTGTAAGTCATCCAGGTCTACTTTGATTTTGGACTGCAACCTTCACTGCCGTCGATGCTAATTACGTCATCATGCTATGTTCACTACCAAGCATGAAATGCGACTGACTGGTCAAAATATGATACGTTACAACAGGTAATCCTGGCTTTTTAATAAGTTGTAATGCTAACCTGCCGCAACGTTATTACATGTTGGCATTGAGAGCAGCAGAGAATTTAGCTTAATTTTGAGCATTTTCCGGACAATTACAAGGCCTCGAGCGTTGCGTGGTCAAGCAAACACAAGTGCAATTTCGTGACTTGTGTCCCTAGAAGAAAGTCCATACTGGGCACTGCAGTGAATAACTTCGTTGAGTGTGGTAAATAAGTCCATGGCAATGTTGATTGCTAAAAGTATACCAACTTTTCCTCCACGACAGAAACAGAGCCTTCGAAGCAGAAATGCGCATCAGGCTTACGATTATAGGTAAAGTGGGGCCAGAAATAGCAATTTTCTCGTCCGTGTACCTGATAAAATAATGACACTGCAGTCTCAAGGGGTGTGCGAATCACCAATCTTGGTGCCAGCGAATAGGTTCCCACCGATTCCCGCGGTGGGACTAGGTTCGAAACTGACGATCCACATGTGGGGTGTGTCGCCCCCCCCTGCGAAACATGATATGACAGCAGTGGCTGGCCACCCTACCCCAGCGCTCCCCGTCCGACCCTCTCTCGCGGGTGGAACTGCTTGCGTGGCTCTCTACCTACGCGTCTTGTGAGGTATGACAGGCCAGATATGTGCTGCCCTTCACTGGCTCAAGTTCCGAGTGTGTGCACTCACTAATCGCTGAAATTTAGTAAAATTCTCCCCTCCGATGGGGGGTAGGGAGGTGGTCTAGTGCCTAAATACTTCTCTCACATACTGTGACCACTTGCTCAGTAAAAATCGCGCTTGTGCAGATTATTTTAGGCTGGAGCCCCCTGTTGCCCCCTCAAACGAACTCCGGCACGGTAGCCACAACCAAAGGCCCTAATTCGAAGCCACGTGCGTTTATGGCCCACAAAAGTCAACAAAAACAGCCATGTTTGTATGGTAATCGGATATTTTATCGTGGGTCATTTGATATGTTAGTTTGCTATTGCGGTAACAATAACACCAGTTGGTTTATAATAAATGTTAACCTTCATCATCATCATCATTAAAATGTCTTCTTTTTAACATTTGCTGAACTGAACTATTCATTAGTTGTGTAGCGTAAAATATAGAAGTTGCTGAAATCCAGGTAGCGGTTCGGCAATTTGCAAGACTCTAAGCCACTAGACGAAGAAGGCGTTTCGAGTTAGGTAAAATGAACTGCACAAGGAATGGCACCCTGCTAAGCTGGTACTTTGCACATTGGCTTTGAACGAGGCTCTGTCCATCGCAGAGAGCTTCCGCAATGTGCCTGTGGCCAGTAATCAAGAACACTGTTATCGACCCTCGGTAGGACATAAGCCTTTAGCTCATTGTTGATAGCAGAATGGTGATGTTAGAGCCTGTTAACTGAACTCACGACGAGCCCTCTAATTTACTTAATCATCGACACGTATGTTTAGTTGCAACCCCCAACCCTAACAACTAGCTGAGGAGTTTGATTGAACGGTGATTTCAATTGCCAAAGAACAAAACTGGAGTGGTGACGGACACGTGCTCCCCGGAGTTTCGTCCATGGATCATCGACCCACTGCGTAGGCTCAATCACCCGTGTAATCTTGATATATATATCCTCGAACTCATTGCATGATCTCACATTCTCCTGTTAGTTCGTCCCCTTCCCTTGAAACGTTTGGAGTGAGTGCTAGAATTTTGCACTGCAATTAATTGTCAGGAGTGTGCAACGTGTGGATTTAAGGTGATATAACAGTCAGACATCTTTCGTGTAGAAAAATCTGTTTTTGCAACAAGCAGAAGTCTGTCCACTAGGCGAATAGTCGCAGGGACCGCCAATAGTCACGTGTGTTCCATGCATAAGACCCGACAAGCCGATTCACCCTTTCACGACAGATTTGTTTGTCCGTTTTAGGAACATTAGATATGAAATAATCGACTAGTATCATACCTATGTTTGCATTGCATAATTTAGTTTTGGTATTAAATACTTCGTATGTAAAAAACACTTGATCAAAGACTCACATCTTGTATTTTTCGACTTAAAATTAATCATGCTTATTTCGAAGGACATAAAGGCGAATCCCGCAAACAAGTTCATTAGGAACCCCGCAGTGTGCTGGTGTCTACCTTCACGCTACAATTTTACTAACACATAGTTAACGAAATTGTCATGTGTACTAAAATATGGGGCAGCCCAGTAAAGTAGTGCTGACTGTCAACGAATGGAAGAATAAATGAGTAAAGTTAATGTAAACAGGGGGTTTGTGCTCGTGTGCGTGAGCGTGTGCTCGCACGTGTGACCTGTCGGAATCCATGTCATGCGTGTTTCGGTGAGCTCACTGCGAAGAGGTCATTTCGGTTCAGGAGCGCGACACCACGCAACTGTCGACCAGCTGGAGGGAAGGGGGGCGAAAGAGACGACAGCATCGGGATGGTGACCGACTCCGTGACGCAGCCGACTGAGACTAGAGGCACTGCGACGACCTAGGATATTCCTGAGGTGTGCATTAATTCATGTCAATTCAACTTATCACTGATTTCGCTTTCGTAAAATCGTGTTATGTGTTCTCTAATTATGGACATTTTGGGCTATTATCAAACCTAATAACCTCGAAAAAGAACAATTATTTGAAATTTTATGAAGGTGGCCGGTTGATTGTTCCAGAACAACGTTTGAATGCTCTGTTTTCCATGACCAAGAGCTGGGAGTCATGTGCTCGAGCACGTTCTGTCTGTGAGCGCAATCCGGAGTTCAGTCGTGGGGAGTGCGGGACAGCGCAGCGAAGCATCGCGTTTTCAGTTGCCCATGGATTGCCACCAATACACTTGAAGGACTACTTGCTACAGCTTAATCCCAAGAGTTAAGTTAACTATTAGATGGAAGAGTTTGAATGGGGCTCCGATAGTGAAACCCATCCTGAGAACTCAGACACACCAGTCAATGGGGGCAACGAATCCACCTGGAGCAGATTTGAACACCCGTACACCTAACGCCCATCCAATAATCAACTAGAGGCTGGAATGCACTGGCCAACACGTCAAATCTTCATTTTTGCTACTTGTGCCGCACTCATGCTCTTTTCCAGCCCCGTCAATTCTGACAGGATACTTCAAACAACTGGAGAACACTCCTAAACTTCTCTCGGTGTGTGTGGTATTCGTGGCTAAAGGAGCAGTGACCTCTGCGGAAGACGCATTGTAATTGTGCTGCAGTAAATTTATTTGTTTTCAATTGCAAGAATTAAGAATAAGTGGAACTCAATGTCCTTACGCCACCGCCGATATAAATAAGGTGGGTGATGCTGACAATAAATTCTCTCGTTTCAAGCTTAGGAAAAAAGGACTCTAGAGATAATTGAATGGGTATCAAACGATTCCCTTGGCAAATTGTCCTATGAACTTTTGGTTTCACCTGGTTTATCTGGCGCATTTGAGCAGCGTGCGCTTGTTAGGAATTCATGTTTAAAAGTTGCTTTAAACCGCTTTGACTACGAAAGTGACTGCGACCCCCTTTCAGGAGTAGGGGTAGTCTGGCGGATTTGGCATCGAAGACTCCTTTAACGACTTACTTGAACTCATTGCCCGGGTGACAGAGGGCAAAAACACGCATTGTGCTGTCTAATTCAGTCAAACCTGAAAAGCTCTGTTCAACAGCAGCCTCTCAAATGCGTTGAAGCTTTTACAAAGCTCTTTTGGCATACCGTTACCAGATATAGCACAATATGAGGGTTTTTAGGTATGGCTTTGGCACAAGAATGACTTGATTCAAGCCAGTTTTTGCGCAACAATCGCGCAACATTAGCCACACGCGTTAAAACAAAATGGACAGAGTGGCCAGTTAGCGTGGTCTCACGTGCTTCGCGCTGGTTGGTAAACTGGCCGCGCAACCAATCAAAGCAAGGCGCGATCAAGCGCGCTTTAGAGAGGACGCGCACGTTCTTTTGTTAGCTCATTCATTATTATTTCCGTATCCACAATTGTGGTAAGAGTGCAAATCTACGAGTGCCTGAAAAATGGATGTTTCACCTGATTTCCACAGACGCAACTGGCATTTGGAGGCATCAGTGAGTCGGTTGTCTCATTTAAATTTTGTTCACTTCTAATTCACTTCGAGCTGCACCAGGCGTTTTAAAAGTCGCACCGCCCAGGATATTCTCGAGAAACGCACCTAAGACAGATTTTTACTCTTATGAAAGAGAGTTTTAACTTTTTGTGTGCTAATAAATATCCTGTGGTGCATGTTTAATTCTTTCCTGTTTTTGAATTTGCCCTGTACACACGGCAAAATCAGCAGATTTAGCACTAAGCGGTTTCCTAAACACGACGAATCCTCACAGTTTATCAGGTCTTTTAAACGTTGGATTCGTCAATTATATCGCAATTTGGCTTGACACCAAATTAAATCAACAGTGTAAGACGGTAATTAATTTTGTGGGTTATTAAAAATAACACAGGAGCAATTAGAGGCAACGTACTGACAGACTTATCAGTTACATTAACGAATGTGTGATTTCTATGTGCAGTTGAAATGATTTACCTCCCCTCTAGATGGGTACTACAGGTAAACGTTTGGGCGTCATCTAAAACCGTGTAAGTCACACTGACGCTGTACTTGCTCCCGTGAGCACAATTGATTTGGGTGATTACGGAATTTGGGCAAATGTTTCGCCTTTTAGTGAGTGTAATTGAAAGAAATGCACCTAGTTACCGTAGGCCACCCGATAGGTTATCTGATCGCTGGTCAGAGGGTGTTGTCATGACAGCAGGATCATGCCGAACAAAAAGGTGGACCGGAATTTGTTGGCCCGCCCACACAAGGGAGACTGGGCCACTTCCGGTGTGTGTGTGTGTGTGCACAAACAGCTGCACTCGTCAAGGAGGAGTGTCGACAGATGCCACCTGCAATCAGGCATTTGTTTTCTCCAGGCTTGCTAAGATAAATCATGAACACTAACGACACTACACACCTGTTATTATTTTAATTGAACCAGACTGATTTGCAGTAGCAAGGTATGGAGGTATCTGCTCTCTACCTGTCCACAAAATTCGCTCACAAACAAAGACTACAGTCCTATCGTCTGTGAACGCGGTTTCAGTTTTATTTTATCGTCACGATTTTCCCTGCACTAAGAGCAGGCCGTCTCAAATGGGATTTGAAAGTCTGTCTAAGCATGCGGCCACCGAACAGTCACCAAGTACCTGGATCGATTGCATTTTATGTTTTTTTTCAATCTAATTTTGTAGGTTGAAACTTTTAGCCTTTTTTGCAAGTCATGTGATCGCGAGAGCTAAAGTAATCTCGTAGAACAGAAGTAAAACACATTAATCCCTAGTCACTTTTGCAAGAACACGTGAAAGCCATCTTTGATCTTTGGTGTCGATCATTTATCTGGCACTCAAGTTGGCCGGCTTCGAAATCACGCCAAGACTAGACGCTCGCAGTCGACGGTGAACAGGGCTGAGGAGTGTGGAACTTCTACTAGTACAGGGCTCGAAGGATTTCTTCTGCGAGTCCACAAACCCTGAGTCTGTCGCTCATAGGCGAAGCTGCACGCAGCCATTGACAGGCTAGATTAGCAGGGAGCTACCTCTGGTTATCGCATGCTTGCCCGCCTCTGTTAAAGACGGTTTCACCTTCGTCGGATCGAGAGCAAACGGAGTAAAACCCGAGATCACTATCATTTAAAATTTTAAAAATTGACGCCACATGTGGTTTTGCATTTTGAACTCATTTCTAATTATGTAACGCGATTCTCAAATGGTAAAACTGGCAACAACGTCGCAGATGGGTCAGATTAGGGTCAGGGATGACTCCATCTCGGAAAATAGATTTTGGTTAAGAGGTCGTGTGTCGATGATTAACCTTGCCCTCGTTTTTCAGCTTTGGTCTCATTACTCACAAGGAAACTTCCGAGCGCGAAATATTAACATGTGCAATCTCAATGGTCTTTTAACCTTGATGGTGGGTATTTCACCGTCTTGAGGTGTGAAATGTTATTTATTTGGATATAAAAGTACACTGACAGCATAATCTGAGCGTTAAGTAGAAAGCTCTCACACCGGCCGGCACTATGGCCACGAGACACGACGGCGTGTGGCGGATTTCACAGGCTGAGAAAACGAAAGCAAATTTGAGATTGCTTAAGGCGACCATCGACGTCCCGTGTCGATTCGCTGGCCTCGGAAAGTGGGGTCTTGACTGGATGGGCGCCTGACGCCTGCCCGTCTGTTGTAATCAGCAAAATGCACGTCAATAGGTGGTGGAGGCGTCGCGTTGCCGTCTTGGTTGCCCCGCGTGGAAAAGACAATCTCTCAGGGAAACGGTCATTTTATCAAACATCTGAAAACTTCATGGATTTCAAAGCACAGTATTAGGATAGACATCCCTAGCCTAAATTACAGGACTTCCGTTTTCGATACAAATCTCCAATCGCCAGTCGAGGGGGAAAGGAAGCAGCCCTTGCGAGATAGTGGACCGGAAGCCCCATGGCTATTTTTCCTGGCTTCTCGGTTTGTAGGTCTATTGAACACATCCGATAGACGTAGAAACAGATTGCGAAATTTGGTTTAGTCTGTGTAGCATTACAAAAAATGACCAGCCATTTGAGTTCCCGTTTTTTTTTAAAATAAAATGTATTATAGAACAAGTGTTTAAGTGTACAATGTGTGAATGATGAATGTTTTTGTTCTCTCGTTTAAAGGCACCAGATCAGGAGCTCAAGCCCCTTCTTTTGTCACCGAAGCCTCCCATCGAAGTGTCACAGGCTTCCTCCTACAAAAGCCACGCACGAGACCGCCTCTCATATGGGGATGGAAGCCTGCTCGAGGACACCGGCCAGTTCTCCACGTCATCTTCCTCCGGTTCTGGCGAACACCCCTCAGGCATGGTGTTGTCCTCCCCCGAGGGAACTTTCCCCAACCAATTTACAACATGGGAGGATCCCACCTGTCCACCAGGGTGCTCGTTTGAGGTCGGCCCTCCACACCCGGGGCTTCCCGTCCACGTTTCCTCCACGAAGTTGCCCGCCATGACGGGGTGTCAGCTGCCACCACTTCAACAATCTCCTTCTGCCCTAAGTGGCTGGCCACCCTGCCTGCCGTGTGCGCAGGCAGCACTACATCATCGTCAAACACTGCAGCCACTTCAGTCAGAACCTGGTCTCAGAAATTATCACGTAGAAAGGTAGATGATTTTTTCGGTCGACAAGGCATTCCATCCATAGCAGTTTAATGCTGGGGCTGAAAATGCCTAGTGTGGTCCGAATGATTCAAGTACTTCGCACCTAAACAACCTCATGATTAGACAAAAGTTCCATTTCTGTCAGAAGTCATAAAGCTCCCTTGTTTAAGTGCCGACCTACTTGTCTCTACTCAGGCAACTGGAAATGGACAATCCAGGGCATCAATACAAGACCAGAATAATTTCGAGGCATTTAATATCCATAGGTCTGGGGTCATCGAGGCCTTGCTTCAAACATGCACCGAGTTCAATTTGTGATACAAAAAACTAATCGCTTGTATTATTTGTGAGGACAGGCCACTAATGCGGGAAGGAACCGAAGGCATTGGTGGAGCTCCAAGTCGTCGAAAGAACGTTACACGTGAGAGTACCTCCATCTTGAAAGCCTGGCTTCAAGGCCACATTCAAAATCCCTACCCGACCAAAGGTGAAAAAATTATGCTGGCTATTATCACGAAGATGACTTTGACGCAGGTCTCCACGTGGTTCGCTAACGCACGACGACGCCTCAAAAAGGAAAACAGAATGACTTGGATGCCATGCACTCGCCCTGAAAACATCAAACAAACTTCGACCCCGCCGACGCTGGAAGACACCCAGGCTAGGGAGGAGGGTGAATCTGAGAAATCCAAGTTGAACATCAATCAAGGAGTCCATAGAAGAGGTCGAGAAGGTGCCACGTTCGAATCTCAGACGTCGCCTCAGTCATCATGGGACAGTTTGAACTCACTTTGGCAGCGACCTCGACATGATGGTGAGTCGTTGGTGCAATGTATCGTTTAGTCGGGTGTCGGAGAGCTCCGAGTTCATCTATAATACTCAAGTCTTTCCAACCATAGTAGTCAATTTCAGTGACAATGCAGCATACTCAGTTAGGCCCAAATTCCATATCAGTGTGCGTCAAAAACGGATACCATGCACACGAATGCCCAATCACCAACTTGTCATTGCAACAATTAATGTCCGAAACTTCCTAAAGTCTTCGCAATGACCATGCTATCGGTGTTATTCATACCACAGTTGTGCCGTAAACAAAATGATTAAATTTACTATCAGTTACCTAAAAATTTGCTTTGTCATGCAAGACCACATTTTGAGGCGAGTTAAGTGTTACCCAACAGATCCTCCAGTGTGATTACTAATACACAAATGCATCTCGCGTCTGAAAGGCAAAGGTAGACCTGAGGTACAGTTTGAGTTACTTCAAAGTGCTATGGGTGAACGTGTTAGCAAAATGCTCCATGACCCTTATGCCCTTCTCAGATACGCCCGACGGAGGCCAAATCCGCCAGCCCAGTGAATCTCAGCAGCACTGCCGACCTCAGCACCATCCACCCCATCCCCAGTTTCCTGCTTGGTCGTGGCCCAGCGTCCCGCTGCCCCAACTCCTGTCCCACCACCCGGAAGAGAGCCCTTACCCCCCACCATACCACACGTCAGCAGAAGGAAGCCAGACGTACAGTGGTGGTGGTTACGAAGGCGGTGTCCAAAGTGCCACAAGGTCGCCTTCTGCGAGGAGTCAACTTTATCACCTGCCAGCACTACGGACTCCGGGGGAAGAGTTTGTCGTAAAAGAAGACCCTGGTGAAAGAAACCACTCTTTGACTGACATCCATTCACCAAATTTGCTAGAAGGCCACAATGATCAAGGAAACCAGGACATGAAATCAAATTGCATTTTGTAGGCCATTCACACAATTTGGTGTTCAACTTATAGTTCTGTTTGACCCTGTACATACCTGCACCCATGATGATCTGAATATGTCTTGGCTTTCTGGATTAGCGTCAATGAAGTTTTTACAGGCTACAATACTGCGAGGCTCGAGTTTACCGCAAATCATGAATGTGACGGAAAGAACGCTCGCTGGCACACGTAAGACAGGTTGCAAAGTCGATTCGCACCATTTTCCCTGAGTAGCGAAACTTCGCTGATTGTAATCATCATCGGTGTTGCAAAAACCGACAAAGTCGTTAGTGCCTTTGCTATACACAATGCCTAACTCCCGTGAAATGCCGAATAATGTAACAGCGAATGAATTGTGTAGGCGTAGGCTCCCCCTTCTCTAACGAAGGAAGAAAACCATTCTCAAAGTTATGAAAGGAGTGCCACTTGTGGAGTCGATAGCATTTGCAATCCAAAAAACACAAGAGTGAGTTTGGGATTTTGCAAGAACATCTGTCCTGTCTGTACCACGTATCACAACAAGCAGGAACGATTTTATGGTTGTGACAGACAGCGATCGTCATTTGATAAAACAACGAATTTTCAAGATATTTGCGAATGATTAAGACTGATAACAAGCTATAAACAAACTTTGCTCATGACTACCACCTCACTAGCAGATTCTTGTCCTTGAATGCTGGTTGAAAGTGACAATGGTGGAATTGGGAAGGGCGTGAACATGCAATCGCGGGGACTGTTGGATACCCAAGGGCCTCCTAGTGGATACCTACGAGGACTCAGAGGGGGTAGAATACTGCAAGTTACTGACACCAATCCCTACCCTTGGCTGAGACACCAACAGCTGATCACATCCAGTCGAGATAGAGGAGGCCATCCTGCAACTGAAACTGCGTTGCGTCCCACGACGACAGCGCCAAACAAAATGTTTCCTTGGTGGTCCGACTACGTCGTTGAGGTTTGACTCGAACATTTAGCGTAATGACCATGCGCTTCGATTCGTGGTGCCCTCCAATGATTTTAAGAACCCCATTAAATGTGCCCGTTTTTCACAACGAAGTATATAAAATTCCCCACAGTTGTATTGGATTAATCAACCGCACATCAGAATGCTAGAACAACGCGATTGCTAAAATTGCGAAACATATAAGTGATTAAATTTCTTTGCTTAAGGATTTGGTTTCAAAAAAAATATTACTTCAAGGTGGGAGCATTCATGACAAAGTCGGTAGAAAATGCCAAGCAGCAGCAGCTTAGAGTAGGCAGACAGCAGCTAAAACAATTGTAAAACTGTGGTCCCATTATTTTCCTCGAAAATCAAGTCAACCATGTGGAAGCAGGCAAAATTTTGGTAAAATTGGACCTACCAACTGCAATATAACAGTTTTCGATTAATTAGTTTAATTACGTTGAAGACGTCAATGTCACAAGGCGATGCTGCACTGTCACACAAGTTTGTCAATTTTCCAAAAAACGAAGAATTTGCTGACATTGCCTCGATTAATACGCCCGTTTTCGCTCCCACTGTCGTGAATTGCCACTTTCCATTTTGGGAAGAATTATCACGCCGAATTAACTTTAATACTCAATGGATGCAGGACTAGCATAAAAGCGACAATGAGTATTTCCGATGGAATTATTAATAGCTGTAATCACGATACCTTAAGCACTGGCGGTCCATTCTGCAGCAGTGATTGGGTGACCACACGCTCCACTTCACAGACCACATGACCACTGTGTAACACACATAAATTAAGGCATACACTTACCAGGTCCAAATAAGGTTCTGGAAGTAATCACACTAACCCACCAATGAAGCCGATTTCCCCAAACTTCGTTCACTTTTCACCCGTTGAAAAGAAATTAACAATGCATCCCATCATAACTAACTCCAAACGGGGACCGTCACGACCGGTAGATGCGAGACTGATCTTTTGGCCAGCTCCTAATAAAGTCCATTAGATGGGGACTACAGATATGGAGAACAGCTTGGCAGTGGTGAAGCCCAATAGAGCGGACACGTCCGGACAGTCACAACCGCAACCATGACGAGTAGTCCAAGCGCAGCTGTTCATCATTCCGATTTACAAAATTCACGAGTATTAGGAATTACTTACTCCTAGAAGATGTGAACCAGTAAGCCTTGGATTTCCAAAATATTACTCCAAAAGCATGATAAGCAGATTTCTGTTAGTCATCAATCCTTAAAGCTTAATACACAAGAGATTGTCGCTTCAGGCATTTTTCAAGGTTCTTGAATGCAGTTAAATTAGCAAAACAAGACCAATGTTGATCCTTCCACCGACACAACTTACTCAATTAAAGAATATACTTATCTTCGGTTTCATTTACAAAATCATCTCCATTTAGCATATCTGTCGACCAACATAACAACATAAGGCAGATTAATACGAAAATAGCCAGTTCCAGTTATCTTAGTAAAAAAATCAAGCAACATAAAAAAATTAAGCGATTATATTAAACATCTCCTTCGTTCCGTTCATAGTCACCATGGGCCTTCTTATTTTTGAGTCGCTTGTGTTTCTTCGTTTGCTTCGTGTTTTTCAACGCTTGGACGTACTCGTCCTCCGGGTCAGCATCCTCTTTGAGGATTGATTTTGGTGAAACGACGGTATCGGTGTGGGGTTCCTCTGGTGGACTTGCCTCTGGGATCGATTCTGTAGTAGTTGGAGCAATTGAAGCGGCGGAAGGAGGGCATGACTTCTTTGCCACAGGCAGTCTACTACAGTTAAGAGCGCTATCGTGTCGAGCAGGACCGATGATCTCAATGCAATACCTATTTTTCGCATGTTCATCAAGAGCGACGGAAAGAGCATGGTAGTTATCCGGTTCGATCACCGCCGACTTGAAAGATATAAGTTTAAATATAGAAATTTATTGACTAAAATAAGAAATTACACCGCCAAACCTGAACAGATACTCTACCATAGCGCGTAAGCATAGTCAAGAATCGTTCATAGGACCAAGAAAAGAATTAACATAGTGTGAACGCACCTTTCTTAAAAACAAGAAGTATCCAAGGATTTTGGCCTAAGCAAATGGATAATGTGTACTAAAAGAAGTGATTTTAAACACCATACTGAGAAGAACTTAAAACTTTAGCCGAATGATGAATATCGGAGTTCATAGGATTAATCACAATTTTGGAGCTAAAAAAGGTATTAAATTAGAAACCCAAGGCACTTGTAAAAGTGGTGAATTAATCCAGTATTCACAAAGATGAGGCAGGGAACGCATATTACGACAAATAAACGAAGGAATGTTTTTTTCCGTGGTGTTATTTCATGGGTTTTGAGGACTAAACAAAACCCACTGGCATGTAGAATGTGATACGAGAGAGTATCGTACACAACAGCCAAAGATTTTCAAGCGAAATGAGAAAAAAGGTAGGACAAACTAAACACATACAAGCTCGAAGATTCCTTCAGCACTACGCTCCTGACGAATAATATGGTGTACAAGTTTGAGAATGTGTGAAGAAACAACATCAACAAGTTTTGGATCAAGCGAAATTTGAATCTCCAACATGGCTGGGGCTATCTTAAAGCCTTCAACTGCCCTAAGTTGTCGAATAACTTCAAGAGCCTAAAATTTATAAAAATCACTACAGCGGTTACCTGCTGCTTCGCGCTTTTCTTGGGTTGGAGATTCACATGGCAATCTCTCATCATTTTCTCAATCATGGTGACCGTGTACGCCCGGTAATTTTCCGGATTAACACACTTTTCAGAAACGATTTTCGCAACATCCCTAAACAAACTTTCGTTTGCCACTTTACGCTCCTTGCCCGTGATTTGCATTTCACCCTCATCTAAGATCTACACAAAAATTCCACACAATGCATATATTACGGTACGTATAATGGAGTCGACATCTTCCGTGCCAAAATCACTGCTCAGATCAGCTTTTGTAGCTAACCGTCCCTTTGAAACGTTAAAAAATATCTCATGGGCTTGTAGCACCTCATCAATGTTTTTTTCACTAAAAATACGGGTTGTCCGAAGAACCATTACAGATTTTCGCGCCATGCCTTCACTTTGTTGGGATAGCAAGCCAGCTCATATCTATTTCCATTTCTTTTGAGGCGCACAACAGAGACATTTGTTAATCTTTTCTGATTGACGGGTGTGAAAAGAGACATTGAGACGCAAAGCACCTATAAAAGTGCCGGATTCGATTCAATGCATTAAAAATACACCCTCAGTTTCAGAATAGTTCATCATTTCTCCCGTTCAAAGTAGCATTAAAAAAAAATATTTAGCAGTAGCGAATTGCCAAATTTTCAAAAAAATAGGAAAATGTTTTTTTTTTGTAATATTCCTGAGTGAAGCTCAAACAAATTCAAATCTCATAGAAACGAAACGATGTACCATAATTAAAATTATTGGTTTCATGACATAAAAGCCAAAATACTGCAGCATTATGCAAAATGTATTTGGATGATATGCGGACACAAGAAGGATATTAATGAATGGATTTTTCAGAATATTATCAAAGCTTGCAAAAAACGAATATCCACAAAATTAAATGGTGGTAGTGCGTAAAAGTATAAGTCAAAAAAATTCAAAAGCTGCTGTATAATACTAATTGTATATTAATTAAATAATGGGATTATAAAATGGAAAATATAAATGAGCTCTAGGAGATCTTCAGGGATATTCTTTTTGAGACTCATCTTTTTGAGTAATGAGAATAAGAAATCGACACACTTAACAGACAAATAAAAGTAAAAAATACTTGATGTGGGGGAAAACAAAATTTTAATATTTGTTCATTTGCACGCAAGAGGAAGAATAGTATATTTGCTTATAGCACACATTTTTGTCAAAAAATTTATAAATTCAAAGAAATCCCTCCGAAAATACTCAGTATAAGACAGTTATTCCATCAATGGAGTCTTATTTGCTGCTTTGGTATGTTCGAAGATTGATTTTCTTTTGCCTCTATGTGTCCGATAAGAGTTATTCTAGGTGCGGAAATTAGTCACAAACGAATTATCCGATAGGAACTACTCAGCCTATTCTGTATCTACTCTTGCCCTTCTATAGCTCTAGTTGGCTGCTAAATTTTATTAAAGGCCATTCTAACGCACATAGCTCAGTTCAACAGTTTCATGTCGGTTGTAGAATTTAGCGAGCCCTTGAATGAAAAAAACTAGTAGAACAGAACAAATTATATCGATCAAAGAAAATCCAGAATGAAACGGCGTCAATCCGGGTCAACCACGCTGTCTGCGTTACAGATTATATGCTGCTTCTCACTCACCAAAGACTCCTGTTGATTGCTTATTTTCCCCTCTAGCATTTCAAATTCGCAATGATGAAATATTAGCTGAGCTCGGCGCTCCCGCATGTCAGTACAGCAGAATGTAGGAAAATCGAGCTCTAGAATGAAGTAAAGTTGCAAAACAAACAAGCATTTATTGACAAATGGTATGCCAGAAACCTAAGTCACGTACTACCACTTCGTTTCCGACACACTGTCTGCATTGCTCATTATATACCAGTTCGCGAAAGTGTCTGTATATGGATGACTGCCTATCTACCTCGCATGTCATTGGAGCATAGAGAGACAGAGAATTAGCTAAAACTAAGGCAACCCAAAATGTCTGCGCCCCTGTATGTCGTCCAGGTACAAGCAATTTAGAATACCCAAACCCTTATAGAAAATACATTTACAACAGAACAGGCTTAATTGACAAATAACAAGCCAGAACCACATACTAGGCGCCTTCCATCCGAGTCTATCACGCTGGCCACGCCGCTCATTATATACTGCTCCTCAGTCGTGTCCTTCTCTGGGAGGCTGCTTATCTTCCTCGCATGGAATTGGAAATCAGAGAGAAACAGGATTGGCTGCGGCCAGGTGGTCCAACATGTCTGCGCCCTGATCCGACGCCACACTGCCTCCCCCTAAGGAGTGAAGCTGCCCTCAGCTTCTGGCTTGGTTCCTCGCATTGTTCATGATTGTTAATATATCCAGTTTGACACTCCCCGCACCCCACATCTGGCAGGATAGTGGCCCAGGTGAATAGTTGATGAGGGACTTCGCTCCTACAGACTTGCAGGAAAGACTCATCATCCATTGAAGGTCCTTCGCAGATGCAGTCCAACTGGCTTCCACTGTCCAAGTCGTCGTCGCTGAGTTGCCAATGCCTCTTCATACGCAGTAGTCCTAATCCCGGGCAATGTCTATGGATCCTTTTTTTTGGACATCGGATGAACGCCATGACAAATTCAGCTGGCATTTAAGGGTCTTTGCCTGTGTTGACCATAGAAGAGAAAGGGCTGGGGTTCGATTTGCGTTATTCGAACGCATCCGCTGCCACCAATGTAGAATACCCGAACCCTAATAGGTAAAAGACTGGTACAACAGAACAGGCTTTTTTGACCAATCAGAAGCCAGAGCCACGCGTCAGGCGCCTCCCATCCGAGTCCGCCACGCTGGCCACGCCACTCATTATATACAGCATCTCATCCATGTCCTTCTGTGGTTGGCTGCTTATCTTTTCCGCATGCCATTGGATCGCAGAGAGACACGGGATTGGCTGCTGCCAGGTGGTCCAACATGTCTGCGCCCTGATCCGACGCCACACCACACTGTAGAATACCCGAGCCCTAATAGGTAAAAGACTGGTACAACAGAACAGGCTTTATTGACCAATCAGAAGCCAGAGCCACGCGTCAGGCGCCTTCCATCCTAGTCCTCCACGCTGGCCACGCCGCTCATTATTTACTGCTCCTCAGTCATGTCCTTCTCTGGTTGGCTGCCTTCCTTTCTCGCATGCCATTGGATCGCAGAGAGACACGGGATTGGCTGAGGCCAGGTGGTCCAACATGTCTGCGCCCTAATCCGACGCCACACACACCACAGTCACAACACACCACACCACTGTAACCCGATCGGGAGCGGTGGTTAACATCGCTAAGGTAATTTGCGAAATATTGAAAGCCATTTATAAATATGGTGGAAATCCATCTCAGCTCTCAAATGTCGTTGTCTAGTTTCGGATTTCTGTTTCTGCCTCTATTTTTGGTACGTCACCTGCGCACATGATTTCCTGGGTCAACAAATGGATTGGTCAATTTAAGTCGTCTCTGGACCAGAAATACCTCCACACAAAACGACCTCATCTCTTTTTTAGTCATGTTTCTAGTTAACATTTTGAATTGGTTTCATTCGTGGCAACGTGACGATAATCTTTAATTCCGCTTCACGTTTATATGCGAATCTACAATGGAGTCTCAAACCTGAACCTGATGTTTAAATCCCCGTTGATCATTGTCACATTAGATAACTTTTGGTGAGACGGGTATCGTCGCCGTCGTTATCCAACACTGGTATCAGTAATTATTTGCACCGTTCACTTATTATATTACTCATTCATTTAGGAGCAATGGATTTTTCGCCTTACGTGTTATTCGAAGAACTCTATAACAATTTTGAAGCATTCAGATATATTGCATCAAGCCATAGACTCAGTATAAGGCTCCTCGGATTGTAATTTGCTCTTTTCAATTGATAATACGCAGTGGTATAGAATTTCAGCCTACGAAGCACAGGATAATGTCGTGGAAATCCTTTCGCCCAGTAGAATAGACGGACTGCCTTGCGTCCTCGTAGACGTATCCCTGCTGTCTGAGGGCTTCAAGCGCATTCTCGCGGGCGATTCCGGCCAGGACAGGCTAATACAATTTATTGGCGCCCTCTCTGTGTGTTCCACTAATCGGAAGGTCTGGATGCTCCGGGCTGTTGCACACTCTTTCATGGATGGTGTAGACCTGAGAGCATACGAAGAGGTTGTCCGACTCACTCGTCCGTATGCCCACGCAATCAACTTCTGATTGCTGTAAGCAGTCTGATAGTTGCTCCCTGCAAAATATATTCCGTCACATCTTCGGCGAATCTGCTCGTCGACACATTCCGTCATTTCTAGTCTTGTGCAGCAGTACGTAAGTGTGACCCTTTGGTGAGCTGGTTTACAATTTGTGGCCAAACTAGCCAACTAAATAAAAAGCTGGTGTTGTCAGCTAGAAAAACCCATGTACGTGGTTTCGATTTAGACCGAAGTACAGACTGAGCACGCATGGAGACGTAGTGGCAATGGAGTTTATGAGTTAAGAAAGACCAATATCACGGGTGTTGTACCGAGTTAACGGGATACACAGGAGGGGATCCGAGTGGGGAGGCGTGTTTCCGGCACGTACCGACGCCGTTCGCGCTGAATGGCATGGCGTTGGAGCAGTTTTGGTTTATAAATAATTCTGGCGTTGATCGGTGGACTTGAGATTTGGCCGAGGCCTCTATAAGGAATAAACCGGGAAATCCAATAACCCAAGTGAGTGATGGGGTTTTAGTGTTATGTGCGAAGATGGTTTAGTTTAGCAGGTAGTAGCCCAGTCACGTTTTACGCCCACGTACTGGTCCGCAAGGTTGCTCATGCGCGTAAACCATGTTAGTCATGCATCTAATTAGAAAGTGAATTTGGTGAGCAGGGTGCGCCACTGCGTTGAACAGCGAGCACATAGCGAGGGATGATGTCTTTAATGGATTTAAAAGACGAAACAAGAGGTGTTTGGGACAAATGAACCTCAACGGAGGTAAAAAAAATCAGGTTATTAAAAAGACGGCAAATAGGTCATTTGTGACCTAAAACCCCTCGAGAGCGAGTACATTTGGAATTGAAGTAGTTAAACCGGCGACAGTGTTAGACACGAGCTCAGCTTGGCGTATACATTTTCACGTTGTTTCACCATGGGGAGATAGCAAATAAAGAAAACTTGGACTTGCCGGCCTCATTCGTGCTGGGTGGCGACGCGAGCGAATGGCAAGAGTTGGCGGGTTTTAGGGTTGAAGTGCTCGTAATGACCGTGTTTTGACTGGAACTCGTGGCCGTTGCGTAATCGCCCCCAAACTCCACCTCGGCGTCAGCCACCTCATTGGCTATCTCGGATACCTGGTCGGAGGTCGAGCAGGCCCCCTCAGTCTCCTCACTGGCACCCCCCGACACAGATGTTGACAGAATGCCCGTAACAGGAAAACTGCTGTCAGTCTGCTGGAGCTCCGATAGCAAATCCAGTTGGGGTCGACGCGGCACCCCGCCAGAGGCCACCTTTGGCACCGAGCTGCAAACAGTGAAGCAGTTGCACTTGATGCAAACATGAGCAACAAGAAATCCAAGTGTGCGTTTAAGGCTTCAAGGACAGTAGGAATTACGCCATCGTGCTATCTCCAGCAAAACTTTCACATGGGCAAGATAAGAGGCTAATGGTCCGCCCAGCTGAGTGCTAGCCATAAGTACCGATGCAAAAGTATCAGCAAGAAAAATGCCATTACAGAACTGAAAAATGAGAGAAGCACGCTGGGACAACATGTGTATGAAGTTCTAAGGACTTGGGGCAATTAGCTTGATTACTTTCACTCCGGGTAGCTGGCAGTGTAAAACAAACTAATTTTTCAATGCCTTACAGTTTCGCTAAGAAAACCGCGAGCAAGTTGATTCTGAAACTGAAGAGCTCTTACTGACGTTCTGCACGTTCAAACGCAAAAATAATGCGTACTGATGTGGAGGTGCACACCAGTTGACCACTGATCATCAATGAAGACTTGGTGGTGTATTGCGTCAGCGCACAATTAGGAAAAGCCTAATTCTCTGGACTTTTTAACGCGCTGGCGCCAACGGGGGAAGAGAACATGGCAAGGGTGCTTAAGCCCCTCTGCAAGGTCAGTCCCGAGAATGTGGGCTCACCACCGCGCTACATAGCCTTTGCGTTAGGAACTAGACAATGCACAAGTCATGGTTGGGCAATATAAATTTTCATGTGACCAGTAAAATTGCACACAAGCGAGAGACGACACTGTGGAAACAGCACCGGGGACAGAATTTAGTAGGACAAATCGGGCTGAAACACACCTCAAGCGGTCTCCGGCGCAAAACGCAGAGGTTTGTGCTCACACCAGCTGAGTAATGCATTTGACCTACAAACAGGTGCGGTCTTAACTGGGCACGAATCAAGTAAACCAGCCTTCTGTTCGGCTTCGACCACTCTGTGGGGTTTTCACGCAGGGCGAGAAAATATTTGGAGTGTGCACTAATCAGACAAGCGTGAAAGGGAAAATTTAAATGGGAACGAATTTCTTTCCAAAGACCTATCAAACCGTTCAGATGAGGTAATCAATTGTAAATAGAAAAATGAGGCCTAAACCTGCAAGTCAGACAACAACTTATGCTATTAGTAAGGCGTGGGGAATCAAATGTGCGCCACGACTCCCGAATTCGGCAGTTTATGCAGGGATTTTAGAAGTGCTACAGGGGACATTCAAAACGCAGAAAATCTACTTGCGCTGAAATAAACCGATGTTGTAATTTCTACTGGAAGCCTTACACGCAGTACAAAAAATAGTTAAAAATAGGGAACCATAGAGATAACTTTAAGTTTAGAATCATTTAAAAAAGAGTAGAGGAAATAAACTCACAATCTGGCACGGTAGTTTGTATTACTTGGCTTTATCGTGACGATCATTTGAGAAAGATCTGGGATTGAGTCGTTCGCGCTGGGAGAGAGGTCAAGGGCGTTGGGTAGGCGATACTTCTCGATGCATTCCGACATCTCCTGTTCACCCACCTCAAACTGCGCAACAAAGACATAGGCAGAGGTGACTAGAATTAGTCCACAGCCAAGTAACTCAAAGTAGGACAAACATTCCCTGCCAAGTGTCGTGCATTTTTGAAATTGCGTCAAGGCAAACGGGATCATATTCAATGACCTGAGACTGACAATTGGTAGAAGTGAACCACGTGAAGTCATTCCTGCCGCTTCCTGAGTGGACTCGGACGCCTCACACCGATACCTTCGGGATGGCCGGCACTGTCACGCAACTTCTAGCCCCTCAACCACACAACCATCTTAGCTCGGTGTCATAACAGGAGGGTGACATATTAATCACACAAATAAACACTCGTAAATGTGTGCCTTAGATGTTTGACTGAAATACCACATCAACCCTATTCCTTAGGCCAGAAACAACGTCAACGTAGCAGAGGACAAATTTACCGCGCAATTGTGCTAAGTCAATTTTAGCAGCACATTTCAACAGCGTCTGTAACATAGCAGCACTTTTCAGCAGCGCATGTTCTAAGAGTTCCCTAAACACCATTTTTATAATACGAACTAATCGGGAAAGCACTGAGCGGTAAACAAATAGCAGCCGAAACAAGAAAATTACCCAAGTAAGATCTTTATTCTTTTTTCCGCTGGGTAGACAAATCACCATGTCTATGTGGCGAAGGGAACATGGTAACCCCGAAAACATACAGTGCCCACAGTTTCAATCGGCCAGGGCAATTAAAAAAAATGCATAGCAGCTAACTTCTCCGAGGATTCACTGCCGCCCCTTAAATTGTGAGGGAAAATCGGGAATTACAATGCCGTGTTTGCCAGCAAATAGAAAGGCGGAAAACCACTTTGTGGATTAAGCCGCCGAAGAAGGGCACACATTGTCAGTCAGGTGATCGCATGCACATTTTTGTGCTAATAACGCAGGAAAAACTCGAATGTCATGCATAAAACTGCATTTTAGGAATTTAACGCTGCCAAATATGGTCAGAAAATTCCGTCTAGGTTGTACAAAGACTGCTTTTTTATGAAAATGGTGCACATATATACATGTAAAATCAGTTTTTAGTTTAAAAGCCTCCGATATTGGTAATTTGATGCAGTTAATAGAGGCATACATGTAGGCCTTCCCTATTTAGAACGATGACTGTTAAGTCAATTGATTATGACATTACAGCAGTATTGCACAATAGCTCTCAGGAACACCTTGATTTTATAATTTACTTTTTTAATTAAAAGGTACACGACCCTTGCAAAGATGGATGCACCCAAGACATCAACTATTCCACCTTGGAAAGTATTCCGAATTTCGGATTAAATTGCGTAAAGAGCGACAGAAGCGAAGCATCAGGACAGGATTGAGCGGCAGATGCGAAAGCTGTGAAGGAGATGCCACGGGCATGCAAAATGTCAATATTACACGGCACAACTGAGTAAACCAGCAAACATTCAGAAAATGCATATTTAATAGTACTGGTATTGTGGTTCAATTGGCAGAAATAAGTGAATTACCTGGGGGTCCAGCAGTCGCAACTCGGAAAAGTTTGGCGCACAGGGATATTCAACACGGAGCGAAGAGGTTTCGGCGGATCCATCTGCCTTTTTGTGCAGTAAGTCAACTACGTCCAAGTCCTCTGTCGCCTCAACGGCACACAAGTCCACTTGGTCTCGTGGTAAAGGCCCACCGGGGCTCATTTCCACGCAGGAAAACTAAAAATAGGACAACGTAACTCTTCATAAGAAAACTGGCCAAAACGAAGAGATTACCTGTTGATTACATCAAACAAGGTTCGATGGTAAACGGTTTAAGCGGATGGAAACAGGTCCGAAATAAGGTTTAATCTATGTGGGTGGACTTAGCGCAGCTTGAATTACTGTAGAATCAAAACGTAGATATTTCGCAAGAACTGATGAGCAGGCGATATTTGAATTAACAGTTGGCATTTAGTGCAGTAGTTGACTATGCAAAACACGGTGTAACTTTATGAAAAAAAAAAGAAATTTAGAGTAAAAATGCGTTTTCGTATGGGGAATTTTACGTCACGAGATTTCTGACGGGAAGAATGACATTGGAAAAAATTATGCCACGGAATACCTGAGCAAGTATTCAAAAACAATATTGACCATGCGCATTTTTCACGTTGCAAGGGCCTACACAACCAAAGTGTTTGCAATGCGTGGCATTAGAAGGCACTGTAATTGATACTGCGTGTTACAAGTAGTATTAATTTTCACTAAATCACCTTACTGACATCCAATCAGCGGACCTGGCACACATTACTCCTGTTTCCGTTTTCTCAGACTAACGAATCACCAGGGGGTCAAAGCTACAACGTCGCTCTCTCGGCTATCTACCTTGAATACACGTCACCATTTCAAATTTTGCCTAATTGTCATTCAAATCGTCCTGACTGGTGCTAAATATCTATGGAATACGCACCAACATCCCTGCCTACCGTGGAAAATAGCCGAGCAACCTCTACAGTTTCTTGAGTGCGCAAATTCTGGTACAACTGATAATTAGTTAACCAACCAAAGTTTACGGGAATTTAATAATTTCGCGCAGGCTTTATTTCGAATTACTGGACCAGAGTTCGATTTCTCAAACGAAAAAAAATTGGTTGTACTGAAGCCCATCTAGAGACCTCTTAGGATTTTGTGAATAGAATTATTAGTGTGAATATTCAATGCCCCAACAAAGAATTTTCTGACATCACGTGTAAAGCTCCAAAAAAGCACACTAAAAGCTAAGGGGCACTTCTACTTTGACCGTAGAAAAATTTAGGTATATAAGATTTCAAGACCACAAAGGTAAGAAAGAGGACAGATTTCACGGCATTACTTAACTGACCCCTAGTGTAGCAGTCAAATATTGAAATCATGATCTGAGAGAGGACTGGCGCATTCGCGAATAGCAGCGTGCGACATCTGTGGGCTTCTGTTGTTGTCCATGACGTGGAAGACAGTTGGGTTTGCAAGAAATTACCCCTGAATGTGCCTACTAATCAATGACCTACGAGGCGCTCTTATGCAGTTTACTAATCACAGTCGATGCAAACACCTTCAAAGCCGCAATTTTAATCACAAATCACGTGAGCCTATCAGATTCGTCATGTGCCTCACAAATCAACGCTAGTGGTGGTGTATGGCCAAGTGGAATTAAATTTAGCACCGCGCCACATGACCGAGAGAGAAAATGAAGTTCTGCAATGTAAACATTCCGCACCGATAATGGAACCAAATGGGCCTATTTCTAGATAATCGTTTCTAAATCATAGAACTATGACCTTGATTAAGGCGTACTGACTACTACTGGTGACATCATCTACACTTCAGAAAAACCAAAGGAATGGAAAAAATTGTGTGGCCGCGTAAAGTGGTCAACAATGCCTGTCATCAGAGCCACCAAAAAACCGGACAGTAATCGAATAATAACGGCAGAAGTCGGGATTTAAGACTGCGGAGATTGACCTAGGAATTGCTCGAAGTAGCTAAGTTACTCGTACAGCTGCCTAAATTACGTAATCACAAAACCTGCACAAACTCTTTAGCCGGAGATCGTGTGACCATTCGTGGAAGGGCAAGCGTGGGACGGGTGGGAGACGAAGATAAGACACTGGGCATACTCACATTTTCACCAGGGAGGACTTGCAGGTCCTCTGTTGCTTCACGAGCGGAAAAGTCGATGTGAGACTGCCCCCGATGCAATGAACGAGGAGCACCCAGGCTGAGGGACGCAGCACGCAGTTGGGGTTCTTGAGCGGGGCCTCCCAAGAGTCGCAGCCGCTGACTGTACTCTTCATGAAGCAAAACACTACAGAAGACAGACTCTGTCAGCAATTCGGCTGCATTCGGATAAAAATCAGAAGCCGGACTAGAAACAAAGAGCGCCATCCACCCACCAAACTGATTCTATACGAGAATGTTTCACAATTGACATCAGTGTGGATTGGATCGTGAGACAGTTTAAGACTACGGGCTGGGTTTCTTCCATACAGCTAACGAAAGCATCCCATAAACACTCTAAATTGTAGACTTGAGGTACTGAGATAAAACCAAAGAATTAAAAACCAAATCAAATGTGCGAAACAGAACAATTCGAGAGTATTGACAATACACCATGTTGGAAATGTTTAATGATAACGTTAAGAGCTAGAAACTTCACTCAAATTCAACTCGATTACAAAAATAGTACAACGATCCTGTTAGGTGTTTCTAAGCCAAATAAAAATTGCAACAGGAATTAACTGAAACACATCATAGATGATGGCGTGTGTGTGACCTTCCGCGTGGTGTAACCCGGCTCATACAATGTGGAGACACCGGTGTGGGTTCAAGACCTACACCCATATCCAACGTGATTACCTGACTCACCCAATGCTGAAAGACATTTGCATTTAGCCCGGGTTAAAGCAAACACGTACGAGTGACGTCAGAATTTGCATCGCGAAATTTTAGGTGGTAGAACCTTGCGTTTGAAGTCCGAAAAGGTATGTGTGTTCGAGACCTCTAGAGAGGCTTCACGCCGGGTGATTAAAATGTGGTTGCCTAGCTAAACGCGGTCCCTTAAACAATCCTTTATGAATACGCCAATACAGAAATAATAAGTACGGAGATTAATACGGTAAACATAAGCGAAATTGGTGGCATGTCTTGTTAGGAACTTTCTATAATGATCGACACATTGTTAAAATATGGCAAACGATAAAATTACAAAGTAAGCAGGACACAAAATGGCGACAGACTGCAATAAAGACAAACGTACAAGTTTGACTGAAGCTGATCAAATGCCGCCCGGAGGACCTGGTTTTCATGAGATAATTTTGAAAGTTGTTCCTTGTATTTCATTAGTTTGGCGTTCGCATCTCTGAGAACATCTTCGAGATATTTTTTCTATAAAAAAAATTAAAGTTAAACATGTGGATCACAATTTAACCATTAAACACGAGACAGTGGAACCTTCTGTGCAGACATTGGATCAGTTTCAAACAAGATTTCCTGACACTGTTTGCAGACTCCACGTTGTAAATGATACCCATCGGTGAGTACCGCTGGATCCGAAAATTTGAGACTAAAGTCAGAATAAGAAATCTGTACGTAAAACAGAGTCAGTTAGCTATTTTGGGGAAGAAACGACGTAGAATTTCATGGAACGTGCCTTGGAACTGGATTTATTATCAAGGCGTAGTCGATTTGTCGCACTCCAAGGAAATTGAGTTCGTCGGATCTCATATCAAAACTACAAGGGATAAGGACACAAAAAAAGAAAACTTTTGCGCGGCTATTGACGATCCAGGCGCCAAAAAGAAATCCATGTTGTTTTAACTGTCACAATACAAATTTGGGAAAGTTTAATGACCACATTCAAAACGCTAATTTACACTTCTAATAGAACAATTACTCGATCATTACCAGAAATTCAGATACTGTAACTCCACAGCAGCATTGGTGATTCTTCGAAGTTGACAGCTGAATAGAACTGCATTTGGGTGATACAGGCGCCTAGTATTAACAAAACTATTGATAGTCATTGCGAAGCAAGAAAAAATAAAAAAAAGGAAACTACCTGATGGCCTCCGTTGAATTAAATAGTACATCAAGATAAAAATGGAGCCGCTTGGACTGCATGGCGAGAAGAAATAGTGACCGTAACTGAAATCATAATTGAAACTATGATAAAATGTAGCTAATATAATGTACATAAAAAAACAAAGCACAACGCACTCAGGGCAATCTTTGAGTATGGCAAAAGTAATTTTAAGACATACCCGAAGGCTACAAAAATGTTTCACGAAAAGCGAGAAAATCTTGTAACGAATCAAAATGCAAGAAAACAATAAAGCCAGTAATAGTTACCTTGGCTATGCCAGTGTGAAGATTGTCCAAAGAATCGACCAGCCCAACACAACTTTCAGGCATGTTCTCACAACTTTGCGCGACCCAATGCCAAATCTTCCAATCTTTTCGCCAGTTAAAAGTTTCTAAAATTCACTTCAACTAAGTTCATGAAATACTTTTTAGGGAATTATAAAAAATATTTTCCAGGCATGCCAGAAGACCTTCAACGCCATGGGAGTTTTCGTCAAGGCAGTCTGTCTTGTTTCGACTTGTGATTACATGTATAAAAGCGCTGGAAAGAACTTAAAGGACCAAGCGGACCAAACCATGTAGCTTGAATAATACTTTCGTGTGCAACGATTCTCTCAGAGCAATTATCAAAAAAACTCTTCATTAACGTATATCAATCAATGAGAAGGAAAAGTAATCGGCGAAATAGGTCAGAACGTCGGACACACATTTTCAAAGGAACGCCCCATACAAAACACGCGTTTTCCGATCAATGCTGCAAAACGTACCCACTTCTTATACCTTTGGGTAAAATGTCATGTAGAGGTAATTTCATAAAGTAACACCGCAACTATCTGCAATTTAAAAACATTAAAGCTTCACACAGATCTGTTACTCAATAAGTGTTGAATGTTTCGAGTGCATACGGGCCAAGTGGCTGACAATGTATATTTTAAGCTAAACGGCAATTTTAACCAAATTCTGAATGTTCTAAATACTTTACTTAGAACAGTCTTCAAATATGTTATTCAGCGTACACGACACGTTGTTTAGTCACATTTTAGGAACTGCGAATTACTGAAATTTAAATGTTTGATTTATTAGGCTACCTACCTATCACTCGATCTATCAAAAATAAGGCAAGTTTAACCTCGAATTCAGTAACTACTGTAAAAATAATTATAAAAGGGGTTCTAATTGTCGAATTTAGCATCAAGAATGATTTCAAAATATGCTGGGAGGATTACGCAACCTCTATTAAAAAAAACTTTTTCTCCCGAAGAGTGTATTTTGGAATATAATCACTAAAATGTTTGGTTAATTTTTTTCGTTACATTTAAGCTATGATTTGCAGGTAATAAAATAAGTGCATGACATTTTAACTACATAATGGATGAGATTGTTTATTAGGTCTGCAGAAAGACCTCAAAAAGGAAATACCAGTAAAAAGAATAATGGTTCATTACTAAAATATGGACATTTTTTACAGATGCTAGAGAAGAGTCCACTTACTTAAAACAATCAGTTTTCCATAATAGTTAACCCGAGTCTCAAAAAACTACTAAGGTGTTGTTGGATGGGCGAAACACTGAGAACGTAATAGGATTATACCAGTGTCCCGAGGACTGCATGATTCTGATTTTGTAGGAATTTTAATTCAATTTGAGTGTTGTCTTTGGTTACTTAACAGTTTATTAATGGTGAATCAGAGGGGCTTTTTACGTGATGTTGTAATAAAATTCATGAATTAAACTCGATTCTGCACATGCCTCAACAGAGATAAAAAATCCTTAGTGTATTTTTACCAATGGCGTGTGAAACAAAAGCATCCCTTCATTTTATCTAAAGATGGTTTGTACGTGACTCATGCTTTCCTTTCATTGGTAACCACAATCATCCCGTTGCATTTTTTGCATCAATCCTTAAATGTACTCATGCCGACCACATACGCACCCTTCTGGCCCGCACGCCAATAAATTGTCGCATGTACAGCAACCTGTCTTTCTCGTGTCTTATTGCCTGCTATATAGCATGTATGAAAGAGGCGCCGATTGATAGCGTCTGTAAATGCTCAAGTGAGGCTTCCTCCACTGACGTAATTGGTAAAAATATACAAAACTGCAGGCCTGGTAGAATGACACTCAGTAACCGGTGTCACTAAACTGTTTCCCAACATGTTTAATTTCAATGTCGCATGCATTTGTTGCTTCACGCCTTCCCTTTGAACATTTCCCTATAGTCTCGTTGCGTGATGCTAGGCATAATTAGTGGGTAACATCTCAGTCGATAGTAATGAGTGATCACACGAATTCACCCTCCATAGAATTTCTGTTTCCATTGAAAACAGTGTCCACGCGAAATCTGGGATTATTTACTAAGACCAGAGAACTGGTGAGGTTACTCATACCTCATCTGCCACGTGTATACTAAGAACAGGTAAGCATATTGAACCGAATATGGGAATCCACTTCCATGTCAATATAGTACCCATTCTTCATTGAATCCAGCAATTTCTTCAGCCTCTAATGATACTTACGAAATCGTAGGCTGCTTCATTCACTGAACCCAAAACATTTCGCAAGTGTTCCGGTATGTCTATTAATAATTATCAAGCAGCTGAACTATCTAAATTGCGATTTAGCGCCGAGTTCCACTTTCCCAAAGCAATCTACCTTATATCGCCTTTCTATTTCTCACTGGTTTACCCAGTGTTATCCGTGGTTGCATTGCAGCGCTTCAGAAGTATTAAAGCTAATGAATTTCAGATGATTTTCTTGATCCTACAAGGTTTTTAATCTGAATTGACGATTAAAGGGCAAATATACCTATCAAATCCTTGCAAAAAATGTGTGCCACGGAACGCCAAGCCACATCCCTTCTCTTCGTTAGATAACGACCGCTTTGTTACAGTCTATTTTATTAGTTCCAGAAGTCATAATTTCCCCTCTTCATAATGTGGACACTTTCTGCTTGTCCATTGCCCCCATGCTCCACATGAGCAGTGTAGACCAGGTGCCTCACATGATGGAAATGGAGGTTAGTTCTGAAGGCACAGCCTCCTATCCAGAGAAGGCTTCACCCAGATGACATTTCGACAAGGCTGCTTCGCAAAATTCATGTTCACCTATATTGTTACTATTTTCTGGATTTTGGCGACACAATCTTAGTCGATACACCTCCTTTTATGGCCCGAAACAACTTCTAAAACACATAAACGAGATAAAGCCAGGTTATGTGAGGACGCTACCGTCTGAATTGAGCCAGGCAGTAGGCACGACGTGGAACTCAGTGAATAGGGGAAACCATAATGTCTCTTAAATTGTTTGGTGAGTAGATTGTTTAAGTGCTATGTGGGTAATTCCATGTACAAATAGCCTGTATAACGACAAATAAGTTATGGGGTAAGTTGGTGAAGTGAACAACAGCGCATTTACCTATTACTAAACATACATCGATGACAATTCGTGGACTTGCGCGACGAGTGCTCAACAGAGAAACAAAATAATAGGAACTCATGTACGAATTACCGTAGTCACAGTGACTTGCGTAGAAAAAGATTTCGACAGCGCCTTTAGTCGATTGGGACAAATGAGTGAACGGCTAGCTCGAAGCACTGGTGGCATGGCTGGAGAAGTTGTGCGCTACTTCCAACATCGCCATCTCCCCCACAATTAACACAAATTAAATAAATAAAATCCTCCAGAATTTCTTCGTCATGGTTGCACCTATAAAACTTCGCTTCGAATCACTGGAAGTAGAATATTTTGGACCACCTCGACCTAGACAGAAGGCGAATGTGCGACTTGCGGTGTGAAACAAATGAGTCAGATTCCTCCGGCCCGAAAAAAAAATTGAATTCATAATTTACACACGCAAAATGACACCCGATTAGGCAAAATGCCCACGTGTAATTAATTTGGAAGAAAACTTCCTTAAGATCGGCTACTGCGTAAAATCACTAACAGGAAATATTTTTCTGTAACGAAATTAATCTGACTTGCAAGTGAACAATGCAAATAAAAACGGCAAATAACCAGTTAAATCTCAAGTAAAGTACTTTAATAAATTGAATATTTCGAAATATTGTCACAATGATCCCATAATTCCCACGGAAAATTATCATCCACAATTCAGGTATACAAAACGGGCTGGTGGCCAAATCAAGTACTTTATCAACTGTAAGGCTATGTACAATAAAATAGCTTGCACACTTTATTTCAACAACATTTCCAAGAAGTTGGGCCCACTCGACGACCTGCCACTTGCCTTGCGGAGAATGCTCATGCTAAAGAGAATCATAAATTGAGACACCGTGCAAAAAACTTACAGTTCTTTTCTCTCACTTACGCGATTTTTGATTTTGCCATTCTAAAAGGTTAATGCATATGAAAAATAAACTACTACCACAGGAGGCGTCTGTCGATTTGATGGAGTGACACTCACTGATGTTGCTTGTTTTTTGGGTTTCTTAGTCATCTGGAAATAATTTCACGGTAAATTATACATTACCTCGCTGTGAAGTGCAGAAATTGAATTGCTGGGTCGCCGAATTGGGGTAGCAGCAGAAGTTTTATCATCATCTTTTATCCTATAACGTTTTCATTAAGGTACTACGAAAACGTACGGCAAATTCAAGGCGGCAACACACCGCAAATTTAGGGAAATCGTTGAGATATAATTCAGTTTCGGTGGAAGATCGTGTAAGTAGTCTACGACAACCCCCACATTAGGAACTTGGGGGCGGAGAATGATTGTGCTATTGTATAACTCAACCGATGATGCAATCGATTTTTCTGATAAAATTCTACGAAGCATTTTATTTGATGCAGAGAAAACTTACAGCAGGCGTGAGAGAACTATCATTATCAACGTTGCCAATTTGACAAAGTGACCGGTTAACATCTGCCGGTCGCAGTTCTTCCAACAGCTCTCAGCTAGACTACGAATAACTAGGACTTCGTTGTGCCATGTGTTGAGCGCCAGCAACAAGAAGTCGACTACGTTTCGACTGAAGCACCGATCTGGCTCAGCAACATCAACAAGACAACGCATCACGTGTCGAACACAAAACTGGGCTCGTCCGGTGCTCGCTTTGCGAATGCGACGTTCAAGTTGACAAAGCTGACGAAAGTGGATGAAGTGACGCTGTTGATTTTTAAACTTTCGAACAATGCGACCAGTTATCGATAAGTCGTCATTTTTCAAGTCCCACTCGTTAAAAACAGAAGAAAAGGAATCCACACTGCGCTGAAGGAAAGCTGATTATGTTAATAACAGGAACTGCAGGATACCTTTGGTTGAAGGATCACACTTGGCATAACAAATGACCGGGAGAGAATCCAGTAACATGATGGTAAAATCTTCGAGGTAAGACCAAAAAACAACATAACAAAAGCATAAACAACTGCACAATTCAGCAAATGAATTTTAACTTAGACGTCAACATGAGATAATGCGAGCGTGGAGAAATATCTGTGTCGAATAAGCGTATCAATACCCTAAAATAACAGCAGGTTTAATTAAACGACACCTAATAATTTAAAATAAGATAAACAGCAGATAAGCAGTAGAACTTAGATACATACCGATAAAGGTTGCCACAATTCTCATGATGGAGTACATGAGTTGTAGTGTACAGATATTCAGCAAAACTACTGACTAGACTTAAACAGATATGATCATAGACAGCAGGCTGAACTGTAGTACAAGTACGTAAACATGTATGCCCAAAAACACAGTTTTGTTCATCGCGATTACCAAAAATATCACATTAGAACGACGATGTCATTAAAAATAGCGGCAAAATGAAACAGCGAACGAAGAAGGCAGTGATTGTCAATAGTAATTTTTTTTGTTATTAACCACTCCCAAAGGTATTCGCAACCACGTAATAAATGAAGATAACCCCAGTTAACTATATAACAATCCACAGGTGCCAGCGACACTGAAGTTAGCAACACCTCATACAATGTCCAAATACACTAATTTACAATGAGACAACACCTAATATCCAACCTAACGGGACAAGATCAGGTACAATCTTCAGAATATAAAGAAATGGCAACATACCCAAAACAATAACAGCAATTTGTAAATTGACTTAAGCTGAATAACCGAAAGATACGCTATACTTGCTACAGTTAAAAAGTGACTGCCTAACAATACATGTTTCCTCAATGTTTTAAGGCACAACGGCAATTAGCAGGGATGTACTGTGCCACAAACTCACAGCGATGCTGCAGTGTGGTGGCGAATGATGTGGTGTGGTGTAGCTGTGGTGTGGTGTGGCGTCGGATTAGGGCGCAGACATGTTGGACCACCTGGCCTCAGCCAATCCCGTGTCACTCTGAGATCCAATGGCATGCGGGAAAGGAAGGCAGCCAACCAGAGAAGGACATGGATGAGATGCAGTATATAATGAGCGGCGTGGCCAGCGTGGCGGACTCGGATGGAAGGCGCCTGACGCGTGGCTCTGGCTTCTGATTGGTCAATAAAGCCTGTTCTGTTGTATCAGTCTTTTTCCTATTAGGGCTCGGGTATTCTACATTGGTGGCAGCGGATGCCTTCGAATAACGCAAATCGAACCCCACCTCTCTCTTCTATGGTCAACAGAGACAAAGACCCTTCACTGCCAGCTGAAGTTGTCATGGTGGTCCTCCGATGTCCAATAAAGTGGATCCATAGACATTGCCCGAGATTTGGACTACCGCATCTGAAGAAGCATGGGCAATTCAGCGACGACGACGACAAAATCAGTAGAAGCAAACTGGACTGCCAGTGGAGAAGGAACCTGCGATGGATGAAGCGGCCTTTCTGCAAGTCTTCAAGAACATATTCCCACGTCCACTATTTGCTTGGGCCACTATCCTGGCAGTGTCGAACTGGATATTCTGTCAATCATCAGCAGTGCGAGGAACCAAGCTAGAAGCTGAGAACAGCTTCACTTCTGAGGGGGAGGCAGTGTGGCGACGTCTGGGTGCGCAGACATTTTGGACCACCCTGGCTTCAGCCAATCCAATGTTTCTCTGCGATGCAATGGCATGCGAGGATCACTGCACCTCCAAAGTCATTGGTAGATAAGCAATGGCTTGATGGACATTAGGAGGTACTTGGACAGTACGTTTAGAATGTGTCTGCGATTGGTAAAGCGGATTTTAGCAAAACAGCTAGGTGAATAGCACATCGTCTTCTCGGCAGTTATGTCACTCTCCTGCCATTTCACAGCAAATAATGTTCTTGGAAACTTTTAATGGGACTCTGAAATAAGATGAGGGTTTATATTTTATAACGTCTGCACAAATTACATCGTGTGTCCACATTTATAACCAAGTTTTACACTTTATATCAGGGGGTTTCGTGTTAGGCAGCGTGTGAAAATTTTGAGCTAATATTTTATTTGTTTATAATCACATCCTATCGTGAGTTTGGTTACCCATCTGACGTTTTTTCATATATTCATCTGATGAAAACCACAACATCTAGCAACTTTAAGAATGAATCACGGTCTCAGTAACTTCCCATATATAATCTTCTCCTGCTGTAACTGTTTTTTGACTTTGTATACAAGCTGGATTGTCACGGGGGTGATTGGTTACATTTTCTTAGGAACTCCTACAGTCGAGTCGTGTTGACGGGACCCCTTCAGGATTTGCTCCAGATGTGTTTGAAATAACATAACGCTTGTCGCATTTCCCCAGATTGATTATCAGAATAATTCTTCACACCTCAATAAGTGAAATGAACATCTCTCATGAGCACAAATTCTGGAGCTTCTTTATTTTTTTTGAAAACCCGCGACAGTCGGGTCTTGATGGTGGGAAATAGTAGGATCATCTCCTACATTAATTATCGAAACATGTAGATTTAGCCAGGTGATGTCTTGTTCGGAACTCCCAAGGGATAAATTAAAGTATGACGTGATCCTCTACACCCACAAATGCTCGACGACCGACTGTCCCGACCAACATGATTGGCCTTCCACCAGCGCCGACAATGCCTTGGCTCGTAAACCACAGACACCTATTATTCAATTGAATTACATTGTTGTGTATCGTGTTTATTCAACCCCTCAATCCGGTTGCTCCGCCTCCGACGCAGGGTTCCCCTTTTTTGTAGCATGGCGCCAGATGCGCGAACCCTCAACTCCCCCCTTCATTAACACGAATATTTAGATTATCCCCACACATAGGTCTCGATGTTAGCGCATGTATGACTCACACATCTGAGCTATAAATACGCGCAAACCCCACAGACCCCTACACCTTCGTCAAGTTCTCGAATAAACGGTTGACTCTGTCCTTCCACCGACTTCAGCTTTGTTGGGCATTTAGTGAGATATGGCGTCTCAAAAACATGATGTCCCAACTGCGCTTTGATGCAATTAATCCTCAGATTTACTAATTTGCCCAACTACCGCGTAGCCTCCGACGCTGTACTAACAACTGGGGCTCCAAGTGATAGTCTGTTCCGTTCGAAGCTATTCTGTATCCCTCTTACATTTTCAATACTGTTAAATGCGATATTAACACCATTACTTCCTTGATTTCGCCAACCACTCCTAACGCTTAAATCACTGAAATGTCGCTGCTGACAACTTATAATGTACGACTACGACAAATTCCTCAAAACATCAACGAGTAAGCAAACCTAACGGGCAAGTTCATGCGAAGAAATCATGTAACACTATGCTAGAATGTGTCAAACTAAACCGAACCTAGAGTAGCTTCGTTAAAAAGAAAATCTAACCAGGTGAAACTGGTAAATCGCAACGTTTGCTTGATACTAAATAAGTGATAAGTTGTCGCTTCAACAAGACTCGCAGGAACAACACTCTAAGGCGGAGCACCAGACAAAGGCAATAACTGTAAATCAATTAGAACAGAAACTCTGGTTAGAGTAAATAACTTTACTCAAATCGAGTAAATGGACTTAAGCAAAAACTCTGGAAACGGACATTACAAATTCTATACATATGATATACGGTTACATTTATTTAAAAAGCTGATCCATGAGGAAGGGACGGCGGACTGCATTCGAATGTCCTTCTTTAAATTTAAACCAGATAGAATTATTAATAGGACACTTGGAGGCCTCCCGATTTCGTTCTGATAAAAAAGGAAACAATATTACCAAAATGAGGAATGTAGGCATAGGAAACTTTTAGTTTCAAAGATTGCTGTTTCTGTGTGATCCAGAAACGTATGCTATGGGGCGTTTAGATAACTGCTAAACAGAAGAGCAGCAAAGAAAATCCCGAATGAAGAATGGGGATTTAATCGTGTGCGCTGGACTGCCCCAATGATGACGCAGATTTATGGATAATCAAGGGGATCGGGACGGCAGAAACAAGATAATAATAACGTCAACAAACTAACCATTTTGAACGGTTTCTCGGGATTTTTCGACGATCGGGCGGCCAAACAAGTCACTTTTAACCTAAAAACATATCGATAAAGTAGTTTATTGACTGACCGCGCATGCGTGTTGTCTAATGGTTTAATACCTGACAATACTTAAGTAGTAGAACAATTATAGTCACCACCAACGGTAACTGCAAATATTTGTTCGAACTTCTCATGGAGGCTTTTCAGCCAGCTAACAACCCACATCGACTCTTCAAAAATGCCTTGGTACCTTTTTTTCATTTGTGAGGGTTAGCGGAGCAACATTGGGACCAAGTCGAGCAGCCATAAAGGAATCGGACATTGTCACCGGTTTCCTCTCTGCAGCAATTGGAGGTAACTTCGTCGTGGTGTTACTTCCAGCGTTTTCTTTGTCCGCAGGCGCAGCGGGTGTGTTGTACACGGCCTCAGCGCGGCGCATACGCTCCAGGGCGAGTTCGCGCGCCAGCATCTGCTTTACGGCATAAGGCAAGGCTTCCATTTCACACGACTTTAGTGCTGACGACGTGAATAGCGATACGAAATCCAATGGCCTGTGCAAAAAGGGGCCGTTAGTGGAACACTTGAAACAATTTGGATAGTTATTTGTGTCATTGAAATAATCTACTTACGGTTCTAGGCGATAAGTAGATTCGCCAGTATCTGGAACGTGGTGTGGGAGCCAATCCAAGCCGACTGTGATCAGAATACCAATCAAGTGAGCCAAATGCTGCTTCTCGAGAGCGTTGTATAATTGGACATTAACGGGACGGAGAGGCAACGACATAGCACACACCAGCTTGTGTAAGTAACTCGAAGCATCCAAAAGGAATTGTCGGCGAGTTAAAACACTGAAAGGGCCATATGAATGCAAGTGCATCTAAGTCGCACAAAACGATGTTAAAAATTCACAGTCGATATGGCTCCGCTTGCAAAGTTGGAATACGAACTCTTCACAAGACAATTCTCAGGAAAAGTAGCTTATTTATGGGAGTTTAAGTATTTCGGTGAAGTTTTGTCGCTTATAAAAGGCGTGAGCTCCTTCGAAATGAGTGAACACATCACACTGAGTTGTAAATTATTTCAAATTATTGTTTTTTCGCTAAATCAAACAAAAAAAGCTGTCGCACAATGCTCCCTATTCTATATCAGTTTGCGTCATGCCATGAAGCAGCCGACACAACCAATTGGCCTTTACCGAAGACTAGTCAACGTTGACGAGCTTCCTCCAGCCCGCCACTGATTTTCCACCATACTGTCCACAACCGATTGCACTCTGTTGGCGGTAGCGACGTTCTCGCCATAAGAAGTTGGCCAACGCAGAGCCGAATGGTTAACGCCAGAGGTCTTCTTCTGAGTCCAACGTGACTCCATCAAAGTGGGCTCTGTGCTTGCGAAGGCGAGGTGGAACCACGCAGGAAGGAGGGACGGGTAACGCATTAAATTGTAGTCTTGAGTGGAAGAAACATATCGCAAAAGTAGGTCTGAGTAGACTAGCCAGTCTGAGGCGTTGCGGGCCTACAAGTTAGTAAATAACACCACGTGTACTGTATCATCAATAATTCATGCAATACGGGTTTCGCAATTTTTAAATAACCACTGATACTGATGAGTTAAGACGGTAAATCTATTGGACCAGCCAAGGCCTCAAAATTCGTGTCAATTCTGTAGATGGAAACATCCTATGCAATTTATGACCAGATTGCGCCCAATGTGTTAAAAACCGTCAAAAATACGAGCAGAACAAGTGAACACGTGGATCATTAGCAATCTGAAGAGAAGCCTCAGGCATAAATTTGAGTCCGCAATGTTTGCTAATTCTTAGCTAAATGGTGCCAAAATACCTTTTGCAAACTTGCGTCTTTCATTCTGCGATTAAGGTAATTTTCAAACAACCCCAAGACCAGATTCTGAGGATCCCCGGCCGAGCCGCAGATTTCCATGGTTAGTTGGACCCTGCAAATGAAATAATAGTGCACGAGGAAGAAAATCAAATAGCATATTTAAAACAACCACACAAAAAATCCTGCAAAAGAAATCCGTTCAGCCCATACTTGCACTTACAAAGATGAAATGTAACAAAATTTGGCCTTTTTCAAGGCAGACACTACTCTGTTAGTCATTTCCTTTTCAAAGCCAAGTGTGCTCGACCCACACGACAAAAGAGCATATACCAGAGTCGGTGAATTCAATGTATATTTACCGAGCTTGGAGACTGCTGTCACTCCCGGTTCCCGTGACTTGGCTCCTCACTCGAGCCCGGCTTACTTGATTTACACGACGAGCAAGGGTCTGGGCAGAAGGTATGGTGAACACGGCCTGCCAAGCAGACAGGAGATTGTGTTGGGAGTCTTTAATTGAACCTTCCAGGTCAGTCATCAATTCTTGCATCGAGAGGTCGCGTTTATGATGCATTTGCGTTGCCTTTATAAACTAAAAGTTAAAAAACTTAAAGTGTATGGAATAAGTAACGATTGCGCATTTTTGTCCCTTTTAGCTGAAAATAGAAATTTGCGATTTAATAATCTTCAAGTTCAGGCACGTCATTACTCTTGTTTTAGTGATTAAAGATGTGGGAAGTGAAAAATAGCAATGAGTAGATAGGTAAAAGTGCTCCAAAACTTCTACCCCTAGGGTGTACTTCAATTTTCATGTCCTTCCTTATTCGAGCTAATGCATTCAATCACTTGGTTCACACTAGTTACAACCAGACAACCAAAACCACGGTCACAATTCTGTTCTCGTGGGATTTTTAAGCTGTTATATTCCTAATTATCGTTTGTGATAAGGTGCTGACAATCACACTGCCGCAAAAGGGTGCAACAATATGGACAGCCGAATTCATATTTACTTGAAGAACATTCAGGCAGGAACGAATATCGCGTCCACTAATTTCAGCAAGGCTGGAAAGGAAGTGCTTGTCCACACTGATGTTCTCAGCCATGGCGATCGAGTCGAGACGACCAACAAGGCGGTTCAAATCAGTGGGTGGAAGACGTAATACGTAGCACGAAGCCCCAGGTGCTCGTAAAGCGCGAAGGGATGGCGAATACCTGTTTAAAAATTGAGAGAATTAAGTACTAATAAATCATGCTTTTACCAGAAAACAATAACCAAATTAAGCGATTTCAAGAAACCGCAGCTAGACTCAATTATTGCCTGATTTTTTGCTATCATCCCAAACACAGACCCGAAGAAACACTATATTCTCATGTACAAGGATATCGCCATTTATAACTCGTCGAAATTCGTACATGATTGCGCAAAGCAAGCGACCTATTTCCACATCGATAATCACCCAAAATACCTGAAATCAAAGAACGCACAGAAGGTGATCGTAAAACATCACAATAAGTCTGAAAACAAACGATATTCCGACAAACCGTCGCAACTCTCAAGTCACCCAATCAGGAGCGAATAAAACAACTCGCAGTAAAAGCAGTTCTTCGAAACCTGAAGAATAACACATCTGAGTAATCACATAAATTAGAGGAACACGCATACAGATCATTGCAGATGCAGATGACAGGACGTCGTATCACAACAGATTTTTTCTTTCCACGTTTCCGCTCCTGACGGCTGGGCTCAGCAGCCGCCTCCGCCAGGGCCTCCACGGTAGCAGGCAACGCACCATCGATTTCATCAATAATCAGGCAAGACGGTTTGAGAGCCTCTCCGCTGCAATGACCGACACCACGTGAGGCGTTCAAGCTGCTCTGGCTTGAGACCACGGCCTCCAATCGTTCGCGTATCACATTGGGACTGCGATCATCACTAAAATAAAAACACACATTTACTTAGGGAACCTTAAATTATGCCACGCTTATCAATAAAATATGATAGAATTAGGGATTAGAACTGGGTCATGTAGTTTTTCTTTGGAACCTACAGTATAAAATCGGTTTACCCAGTCTGAGGCAGCGGTCATAACCAAGGTCAGATTATTAAAAGATCAAACTTCGAGTAATTACAAACAAAGATAAGTCCTGTTTGACCCTCTTAATCCCACCTACCATTTATTTAGTTATATTGGCCCCAAATCAAAAATCGTTACGAAAAAAACCAATCCAGTGACTAACCTTGCATTTATTTCAACGACCTGGTACCCAGCATGACGTGCAAGCACATGAGCAAGTGTGGTTTTGCCTAGGCCCGGTGGACCCGAAATCAACACCATACGATAGTAGGGTCTACGGCCATCTTTGGGATCCAGCTGGGCAATAGTAACCTCTGCTTCCTGTTTTTTAAATGGCTGCTGCAGATGGCTGCCAAGCATTTCAACTCCAGCGTCGCCGGACTCCCGTTGGTGTTTCGCTGTTGCACTGGGAATTTTGGACTCTATCCCAAAAACGCAGGGATCCCAAGCCTTGAACCAGCACAGGAGCAGTCTGTTGATGTGCTAGGCAGCAGAAAATTAGAGCACGAAACTAATCACCCACCTCTGCAGACACTAAATCCAGGTAGCTAGCCGGTTCATATTTCTTCACCCACAAATGTTCATCAGCTTGATAATTCACATTTGAGTTTTTCCTAATCACAGTGGATGGGAACTTTCCCTATTTCCAGGTGTTATAACTCAGTGCACTTTACATACCAACAGCTCGGCGCTTTGAACCAACTTACAAAGCTCCTCTGGAAGAAGTGACTTATGACTACTTGAAATAGATTGACCAATAAGGTCGTCACAAAGAACCTCAGGTTCTGGTTCGACTGATAAATAGCGTCGCCGTCCGTCACCGAACGTAAGAGGAAGATAATCCCCGGATAGCGGGATGCGATGCATTAAAAAAGATTCTGTGAAACGTGATTCTTCTGGCACCGGTACCATCGACCTGTGTCGTTTTGGGGGACGGCTATAATTTGCTAGGTGATCACTCTGCTCAGTTTCCAAGGGATGTTTGTGGCCAGATGTACATTTCATGTCATCATACTGTTGCAATAGATCATTAGGCCTCAGCTCCCCCACACTATCTACAAAAAAGTGAGTTTAAGAGAAAACACCTTCACCTTCATCTAAGCTCCTCAGGTTATTACTAACTGATGGCGTTTCCAAGTCCATTCCTGTAAGTAAAAAAAGCTTCAAGAAAACAATTTTAAAACCAAATAAATAAATGCACGAATAAATGCCAATTTGACTTACTATACACGGTTCTGTGAAAATACTAAATATGCATTAAACAATATCTAGGAGCACCTAACGCTTTCAGACAACTTTTTTTCAAAAATAATACTTTCGAGACGTCAAGATCATACATTCAACACAAAAATGGTCAACAGCGTGACAATTATGGAAACGAAAACAACAGTAAATCAAGATTTAAGAACAACTTGGCTCAAAAAACATATGTGTCTGGTAATTTTAAACCCTAGGACTATATCTAAGGGCAGAAGCATCACTGAGTGTACTTAGCAAGGAAGGCCACTGATTTTAAAATAAAAAAATCTAATATAGCAATTTGAAATCAAAAATTTTGATATAGGCATCAAAATGCAAGATCAAATGGAAAATATTTATTAAAAATCGACACATGTTCTAAAACTAGGGGCACGTTTAAGAAAACCGAAAATCAAAAAAATTTTAATCATTTTTAAAGCAGCACGACGTGATTGGTTGACTTAAAACCTTGTTCAAGGCTAAATATTGCCATTGCGTTCCAGGTAGCGTAAAATGTTTTTGGGCTGAAATTCGTTCACACGAGAAAAGACAATGAGTCGTATTTTTCCAAACTTCTTGTTAAATATTTTTTGTAGTCTCATATCCTAAAATTTTGTCACATATCCTGGATATTTCGTTTAAGTCACTCTTATAATGTTGATCGGGAGCAGTGTTTAACATCGCTAAGGTAATTTGCGAAATATTGAAAGCCGTTTATAAATCTGTTGGGAATCCATCTTCGATTGCTAGTTAATTCATTTGCATTTCTCGCATTTCATTTCTCAAAGGCCGTTGTCTAGTTGCGGATTTCGGCTACCAAATGTTTCTATTGTATTTTTGATGCGCCAGCTACGAACATGATTTCCTGGGTCAACAAATGGATTGGTCAATTTAATTCGTTTCTGGACCAGAAAGATCTTTTGACACAAATTGATCTTATCTCTTCTGTATTTATGCTTCTAGTTAATGTTTTGAATTGGTTTCATTCGTGGCAACGTTACGATAATCTTTAATTCCGTTTTACGTTTATATTCGAATCTACAATGGAGTCTCAAACCTGAACCTGATGTTTAAATCCCCGTTGATCATTATCACATTAGATAACTTTTGGTGAGACGGGTACTGTCGCCGTCGTTATCCAACACTGATATCAGTAATTATTTGCACCGTCGCTGCTCCACAAACACCCAGGGTTCACTTATTATGTTACTCATTCATTTAGGAGCAATGGATTTTTCGCCTTACGTGTTATTCGAAGAACTCTATAACAATTTTGGAGCATTTAGATATATTGCATCAAGTCATGGACTTAGTATAAGGCTCCTCGGATTGTAATTTGCTCTTCTCTATTGAAAATACGCAGTGGTATTGAGCAATAGAGCTCTTTAAATATAGCTAGGTATGCTTGTTTGTTGCAAATCTTCTTTTCACGGTATTTCAGGCTTAAGAAATTGAGGATTGGCTGAGTTCTGCGTGGTTTAATATGTCTGGGCCCCTATTTGTTGCTGTGTAGAATACCCGAGCCCTAGCATGAACGAGACCGGTACGACAGTACTGGCTTTATTGACCAACCACAAGCCAGATCCAAACGTCAGGCGCCTTCCATCCGAGTCCATCACGCTGGCCACGCCGCTCATTATATACTGCACCTCAGTCGTGGCATTCTCTGGTTGGCTGCCTTCCTTTCCCGCATGCCATTGGATCGCAGAGAGACACGGGATTGGCTGAGA